AATCTCAACCAGAGGGGGTAGATTGGGGAATCTCAACCAGAGGGGGAAGATTCTTAAGTTGCCCAACTTGAGGCTTTGCTGAGTGTTTGGCAACTCAAAAATCTTTCCCCGAGGGTTATAAGATTCCCCTTTCTCACCCACTAGGGGGTGAATGATTCTTTTTCTCTTACCCTGTTCTCCCATTGTGTATCATATACATGTAATGTTACTGTTACAGGCTAAATTCAGGATTGACAGGACTTTGATGGATTGTTGACATGATGTCATTGTATTGGTGACGTGACCTCATACCATTGTTACGAATAGAGAACTCTCCAGTCTCAACCCTGAAGTGAGACAAGGATATCTCACAACGGTAAAATTGTGGATACACCTGTCCTGGGTAAGAGAATTTGAGATATATTGCCATTCGTATCAGGGACAAGACAAAAACCCTCACCTTACAAATTTCACATGATGACTGTGAGTGTCTACTCTATCAAGATTTTAATTTAAGCCTTGTTTGTGAAAGTTAAACATTATGATGACACAACGACGAGCTTTGTGTTCACTTTAACATCAGTCTTTTCTTCTGGTCGCTAAAAATATCTGACACATTTTCATAGTTATATAATTTTACTTCAGGCCCATGGCAAGATATTGTAATCAGCCTCGATTGTAGAATTAGTAAGTCAATAACAGATCAAATGTATGTCATACATATTGAGGTAAACCAATTGAGCTTGACGTACACCCACAATTCAGGCCCTGTAGAGAACTCTAGACAACAGAATCATGTTTTAGCTAGACACTAGGCATGTTATACATATATGTCCAAGACCTTCAGCCATGCATCTGACCACTAGCTGACCGCTTACTGCTTTACTAGCATAGCATTCCTTTACATAGCAATTGATTATATAAAACATGCTTATACTGAAATAAAAAATCATTAAATTATCTTTAATTTGTCTGGTGTTTAGAGGGTAAATGTACTAATTCTTCTTTATGTCCTTGAAATTCTGATAATCTTTTTTACATAATTATCTATTAACTGCCTATTTTTTTATTTTTTTTAATTTCGAAGTTTTCAAAATAAGGAAATCTTTTATTAGAACCGAACTGGACATTCTGGCAAATTCATGCTGCCTAGCTTTATCATAGATAAATACTTAAAAACAAAATAAGTGTAATACATAAAGGCATAGGATAAATAAAATATAAATAGTAAATAGTGGTAATATGTAACTGGTCTAAATAAAGATAATGAAGCTGACACACAAAAATATTGAGGCTTTTCTTTGTTTCCCGAAAGTCAAACATTCCCCCCCCCCCCCCCCCCCCCCCNNNCCCCCCCCCCTCCGAGTTAAAAAAACCACCTTCAGTTTATCAATGTGTAAAATTTACAATTAAGTTCTTTATATTTATACAATAGAAAATTACTCAGAAACAAACGTCTATGACAAGATACCAGCTATTTCAAATCTTCATCAAATATTTAAAGAAAATGATATTCAACTTAATTTTTTTAACTAAAAACCCATGTAAGCAAGCATGTTTGTACTATGTTTACCTGTATTTTAGAATTTGAGAGTTTAAAATGCTTAAAATAGTTCTAAACAAACAAGAGGCCCATGTGCCATCTTTATTTCACAGCTGGTTTTGTGCCATTGACATGAGAAGGGAGGTAATCCTGACTTAAATGACAAAAATTATTGAAATTACCAAAATTGTTGATGTTTGTCAAACAAACAAAAATTTATAAATAATTTTCTTTATGTGAGAAATGTGCATTTTATCTGTTATGTTTTTTAGCTAATAAAACAAAGAGGCCAAAAAGGCTTGAATTTTCACCTGGAAATTTGAATAGCACATGTAGGTTGTAGAAATGAGGATAAAATTCACTCAATTGAATTATTTGATGACCGAAGCTATATGATGTTCATGTCTCTCGGTTTTTGGGTTCTTTGGAAGAAGTCATTTACAGAAAAATTTGATGACTTGAGGCCCCTCAAACCAGCGAGCACAAATTTCTGTGTTACGTTGATTTTACTACAATACACTACGCCCCAATATTTTTGTGTATCTGGTTACCTCTTCATCCGTTACAGTGGCATTTTCAAACTTCCTAACGGATCCCTGGATTTTATCAAAACCAAACTTTCAAGAAAAGCAGCTGGACACAATGACATTCAATGGCAAAAAACACAATACTTTAAACTCAAGTCGTAATAACATTCAACAACAAACATGTTAGGGCGGCTTAAACCCTTAACGTGTCTAAATATAGACTCAGAGGATATCATAATTCATATTCAAAACGCTAAAAGTGAAAAGACAAGAAAAGACTTGAAGCAGTTTCAGTAAGACATAATCAAATGTCAGAAAAGTTTTAGAAGAGAAATAAATAGCTAATTGACATTCATTTGTTGAAATGGATATTCTGCTGTGCCTATCATAATTTCCTATTTAATAACTGTCTGTTGGTATGAATAAACACTTTGAGTTTTGTTTCAGCTCAATAATTACATTAGTAGAAACAGATTTTCTAGTTTATACTCAACATACCTATTTACTGATGTACTTTTTATACAATGTGGAAAATACATTTTTTCTTCTATCTTTTTTTAAATCATAAACATCCAAAGGAAACAATTTCCTACTTTCACCATTTTTTTTTTAACCTACCTCTTCATCAGGCATGTTGGGGTTGCTGCGCTTCTTGCGGCCGGCGTATCTGAGGACAGACACCAAGGCACGAAGCCCAAAGTCGTAGTGATCTTGTTTGGAAAGCTGCTGCTCAGCCAGAGAGTACAGTGTATACACCTTCTTGGCCAATGCCTGAAATATACATAGTCAGGGCACTTGATGAAAGGTCAAATATTCATAGTCAGGGCACTTGATGAAAGGTCAAATATACATAGTCAGGGCACTTGATAAAAGGTCAAATATACACAGTCAGGGCACTTGATAAAAGGTCAAATATACACAGTCAGGACACTTGATAAAAGGTCAAATATACACAGCCAGGGCACTTGATAAAAGGTCACATATAAACAGTCAGGGCACTTGATAAAAGGTCAAATATACACAATCAGGGCACTTGGTAAAAGGTCAAATATACACAGTCAGGGCACTAGATAAAAGGTCAAATATACACAGTCAGGGCACTAGATAAAAGGTCAAATATACACAGTCAGGACACTTGATAAAAGGTCAAATAAACACAGTCAGGGCACATGATAAAAGGTCAAATATACACAGTCAGGGCACTAGATAAAAGGTCAAATATACACAGTCAGGGCAATTGATAAAAGGTCAAATATAAACAGTCAGGGCACTTGATAAAAGGTCAAATATTCACAGTCAGGGCACTTGGTAAAAGGTCAAATAAACACAGTCAGGGCACATGATAAAAGGTCAAATATACACAGTCAGGGCACTTGATAAAAGGTCAAATATACATAGTCAGGGCACTTGATAAAAGGTAAAATATACATTGTCAGAGCACCAAACACCCAACAAATTGTACATGATAATAATAATAATAATTTGAGGTTCTTATATACCGCTATATCACAACCTAGTTGGTAGGTCATCTCAAAGCGGTTCACAAATTATTATCCGTGGTTATAGGGCCTTTGTAACCAGCCAATATCTTTCTCAACTCCCTGGGGAGCATACAGCCGGTGCTGCCATTTCGGCGCTCACAGCTAGCATTCAACAATTCCAGCGCTGCCCAACCAAATACTCATTAACCTGTGATCACCTATTATATTAGTTTAGAATTCAGGATACTATAAATCTACCCACTCAATTCACTGCTTCCTACTACCATGCACTTACCTTGGTGTTTCCGAAGCCCTCACCAAACAGGGTGATTTCTGCGATAAGATTGGAGTCCGGAGTGACCATGGCAATGGGTCGGAACATGGACTTGAGGTTATCAGGTAACTCTGTACGACCAGCATAACCTGAGAAAACACAATAATACAAGTATTTTGTCATCTTAGATCAAGACTTTCGCAGTAGGAGAATTTTCTGTAAAACTTGTCAAAACTAGACAACAGTTGGTTTTGCTGAAGCATATAATCACATTCAATGTAAGCAGTGGCAATTTTTAACTTCTTTATTGATTTTTATTCATCTATTTATTTGTACAGCAAATATTTTGCAGAATGAAATCTGTGTGAAAATATAGTGCTCACCTGGGTTCATTGTGATGAAAATACCACAAGACCACACCAGGTCAATTTCACGACCTTCAAACACAAATCGGGAAGAGCCTGCGGCCAGGGCACTGAGGATGGATAGAATCTGCTGAGCGACGACGGACAACACCTCAATGTTGATACGGTTAAACTCATCAAAACAACCCCAGGCTCCGGTCTGTAACATATATGATATGATAAAGCTTTTAAAATCTGAGATTTTCACTGTAAAACGGTAAAATACAAAATGTTGGCAAAGTAGAAACTATAGTATAATACATATGCAGCAAACCATACTTGATACAAAAAAAAAATCAATTTGCAGATTCTTTCTTATTTTAAAGATTCAACTTGCCGTACATCCTCATATCTGATTTAGCGAATACGATATAACTCAGAATTTCCGTGGTGCAAAAACTACAATATTATTATCTTCTTTTTTTTCAACAGTTTTATTTTTTTTGCAGTTTGATTAGACCTTAAACAAAGTCCTGCAATGAAATGTTATTAGATAATATTGTAAAAGTGGAATATTTTCACGGTATGAAAAAATTCATGTTTCATGCATTGAGTAAATAAGTACCAAAATATCCACACACAAATATTTATTTATAGATTATATATAAATAGAATGTACAGCTTTCAGATCTTTTCCCAACACAAAAATGTCCACACTGTGATCAGACTTAAAAATCAAAAAGTAAACAGTTCCATTTATATAGTAACAATAATCTGTTTTCAAGCATACCTACTCTTAATAAATGATTATTCCAAATAAGTACCGGTAATACTTAATTTATTAAGTGATGTTTGTTGTAGCACAGGTAATATATGGTCAAGTGTTCTTAATAATGTTTAATACAAAATTCCATCCCGATTCAATATTTACCTGAGCCAGACCCGAGAACATGCGTCCCATGGATTTGTAGTCGAGGCCTTCGGAGCAGTTCACTACAATGACGTACATTCCCAGACATTTCCCCAAATCTTTGACTGTCTCTGTTTTACCAGTTCCAGCTGGTCCTTTGGGGCTGCCTCCTCTGTGGAGGTGGAGGGCTGTGGTCAGTGTGATGTAGCACCTGTCGGTCAGCGGAGTGATGACCAGACGGCCGGAGTTACCTAGGTACTCGTAACCGTATGGGAACTGTGTGTTGGTCTGCTTCACAACACAGTCGTCAATGGGAGACTGGAACAGAGGTCACACACAAGGTCATACACAAGGTCACACACAAGGTCACAGACAAGGTCACACACAAGGTCACACACAATCATACATTTATTGAATATTGTCTTAATGAGCAGTTATAATAATATCAATGACACAGTAAAAGAAGTGGTATACGCACCTTTTCCCAGTACAGCCGAAGCTGGCTGAGCCACTCAAATGCATTCTCATCCGATGTATTGGTCTTGATCAACTTCTCAATGATATCACGAGCATGCACTTCAATGGTTACCAGGGCAACCACCTTCATACGCTGCATTTTTGAAAGGTTTCCTCGTATGGCCTCTGAGAATTTGTTCAACATGGCAACCTGAATTGTAGATTGAAAATTGTTTATATCAATATTTTTGTAACAGAGAATATTATAAATCTATAATTAGTAAAAGTGACCCCTACAAATCAAAAGGTCAAGGTATCCTTGACAACACTGTTCTGATAGAAACGTAAAATAAACATTTTGTTTTGAAAATGCTTCTAACTTTAACCTGTATCCAGTGTTATGACCGCTGACCTTTTGAACCAATTTCATAGATTTGACCTGAACAACCCCTTCGACATTTCCTTGGGAACAGATTACCCAAATGTAAGCCCAATTCTCCTAACTTCCGGCTCTGTCCTCCAGTTTTGGTGACCTATTTCAATTTTCCTACATAAAAAGATTTGTTATTCTGATCAGCAAGATGATCACCTTTTTTCTTAACAACATTATATGACCGTTGAATTGGAGGAGTTCCAACGGTTGAATTGGAGGAGTTCCAACGGTTGAATTGGAGGAGTTCCAAAGGTTGAATTGGAGGAGTTTCCAACGGTTGAATTGGAGGAGTTCAAATGTGTCTTCAGGGGTGAATGAGTCAATAGCAAATGGTGATCTGTGACCCACCATGACTCACCTGTTTGCGTTTCATCGTTTTAAGAGCCTTCTTGTCTCCCCTGTCCCGCGTGAGTTTCAGTGCCCGTTCCACATCTGTTGTCCACTGCATCTGACTGGCGGTGATACACAGCTGGTAAACACGAAAATATTCATTAATTAAAAAGATTAATAACAAATCATCCAAACTTCTGTATTAAAATGACTCTTTGTGAATATTACTTTTTGTAATTTTGCTTGAACGGCTTGTTTACCATATACCTGGTTATCTAAAATGTCTCTCTCAAAATAACAATGATTCACCAATACACAGTGCAGAGAAGATAGTGTTTTTGCATCAACCACAGGTAAATGTAATACATTCATATTTCTGTTAAATGGTGAAATATTGCCTAAAATTATTTCATTATTCTTATTCCTAAAAATGGATGAATGTACCCTAATTCAACCCAACAATACATGTAACCCTGAAGGTTCCAGTCTACCCAGCTGTACCAGTTGGCACCAGTATGATGGTAAGTAAACCTGTGATAGACTCGCATTTTTCCAGAAGAGAACTACGTACACATGAATAGCTTCATCACTGTTAGATTACAGCAGATTTTACCTGTCCAGGGTGCTCCTTAATCCACTTGTCTCGTTTGGTCATATGTTTTTTCAGAGACACGCGACACTTCTTCAGCTCATCCTTCAGTGTCCACCTCATGGTTTTCTCCACATCACACAACCAGGCCTGTCACAAACATCAATATCATAGCTTAGAGTCTAATCAGAGAATGTCTTCCACTTTTAAAGATCCATCAGTCATACACAACTGTTCATACCAAACAAAAACATTTTACAAATAATTCCAGGTATTTTTCTGTAAACATAATTAGTGTCAATTTTTGACCCCATTTCCAATGACATTTAGACATTTTTTTTCGATCTGATAAAAAAGATCTGAAAATCTTAAAAAACAAAAAGTGAGTTTTCAACTCGCCTTCATTCTTTCTCTACTTTAGGAAGGTTGTAATTCCCAACATATAAAAACCCTTAGTAAATCAATAAACTAGTTGAGATTTTTTAATTTAAATAGTTTCAAAATTTTGCATTCTTTTAACTTAGTGGAGCACTTAAAGATTACCCTGAAAATATGACCAGGCACTTTGGCTATTGAGCAATTTGACATTATCATGTACATTGACCCTTTCACCACTGTAGACCATAATGGACCCCTTCATATCAATGCATGGTAGAGTCTACTAAAGTTACATAGGGGTGAAAGGGTTAAGGTTATATGTGACCCTTACATTTTTTGCCAAGTTTTGAATAAGAGTTATCTCCCTGAAGATCTTTTAATTATACCATGTTATCACTTAAAATAATCTTGAGTTCTTGCTGAGCTTTCAAGGATTAATCGGCTTCCAAACTATCACCCAGAAATTTTACTGTGACTGAGGAACTCTTTTGGAACATGTAGACATGTCAAGGTGTAGTAACATGTATCCTTAACATAAAGTGACACTCACCTCCACAAGCCCCTCTAAGTAGACATGCTTCTCGTACTCCACAAACTCTCCCTCTGTCGACCACATTCCGGACGCCTCCCATTTCAAACTTGGCTGGATTTAATCAAAAAGAGATATCCATGAATCATTCCTGGTATCAGTAAAACTATATGTACTGCAATCAAATTATTTTTCCATTTTATTTTTTTTAATATTTTTTTAAAACATCATCACAAAACATTGTCAAGTTGATATCTATTGACCTTATTGACTTTTGTCAAGTTACTTCTTGATGTTTGCAAACAAACTTTCATATGAAATGTTTTTACTTCTTAATAACATGAAACTACTGTGGTATTCTTACACAGGGTCAAAATAAATAGGGAAATCTGTAACCTGTTAACTAAATGAGATAGGGTTATCCCAGTCTAGGGCCAAGATTCTGCAAAAATATCCCAACCTAGGCAACAAAGCATTTTATGGCAAACATGGTTGAAAATATCATCTAAGCTAGGGTTAATGGGACTTGTACCTTAATCATCTCGAGTGACTTGATGTTGTCAAAGCATTTTTTAAGGTGAGGCTGAACAGCTTTCGGGTTCTTTGACTGTCCGAGGATCTCAAGCAAGTCGTCATTGGACAAGAAGTAGAATCGAGGGAAGATCTGTCGCTTGGTCTCCAGGTACATGTCCAGCGATTTCTGAATTTCCTCCAACTTCACATTCATGTCGTTCAAACTCTCCAACAAACCTATAAATAGATTTTTTGTTTTGTTTTACAGATTGTGACCTTTACTCGTTCACCCCTGAAGACACATTTGAACTCTTCCAACTCAAAGATTGGAATAGTTCATTATGAAATTTCAGGGGTGAATGAGTTAATGTGAAATAAGTTTTAGGAAAAATCAGAGTTAAGATATGAATTAAATGCATAAAATTGAATACACATACAAAATTATGTATTTAATTGAAAGCAATGATTTAGGGCGTTTTAAGAATAACAGCTATCAAGAGAATCACATAGTTTGTGGTCTCTAAGAAAGTCCTCAGTAAAACTATTCGTAAAGATATCTCTGCGAATAAAAATTAATATGCATCACATCTATCAACTGCTTAGATTTGTCTTAACAAATGTTAAATTTACAATTGCCTCTCCAGGCAAATGAACAAAAACAAATTATCTCACGAAAGGTGATTTGGTTTAAAGCTGTTTGTATAATACAAGAGTACATCTGACCTTGGACTGGTTTCCTGTATTGTGACATGTTCGCAGCATTACATGTTTGTAGAAAATTTATGTATGAAGGAAATTTAGCATTAAACAGTCCCAATGAGAAAAATATTGATGACATTGATTATAATGAAACCGTGCATTTTACCTTCGTGGTGAGTTCCTCGGAGGGCATTTCTGTCTTTGTTCAGCCGGGACATGATCAACTTCCATTTACCGTTAACATCGTCAAATTCCGCCGACTCTCGCGGCAGCTGCTTCCTAATATCTTCACCCAGGAAAATGTTCTGAGGAAAAATATTATGACGATCACCTTTTTAGATTGGGACAAAAATAGATTATTAAACTTCTACTAAAATATAGGAACCACTGTTGTCACTCATCTATAGAAACATCTATTGTCACTGTAACAGTGACTCATACTCTCATCCTCTTCTTTCTCCACTTTCTTCCTCCCTTTCCAAAGTTACACCTCTCTTCTTCCATCACTATCCTGTCCTTGCCTGCCCCTAAGATTACCTTAATCCTTTTTCCTTTCTCTTCATCTCTCTCCTCTCCTTCCCCCCTTTCCTTCATTCTTTCGTCCCCTGCTCTTGAAGAATTTTACCTCCTGGTGTACTATTGTCTATTACTTGAGTTTTATTCCTCACTCTTTATGTTTCCCTATTCCCCAGTCTTCTGTCTGTACTCTTCCTTCCCCTTCTCTTTTCTATTTCCTTCTATCCCTTCTCTTTGCTTCCCTTACCCTGCTCTTCTTCATTATGAATTTTACATCATGTACTGTCATTGTGATTTAGTTTTATTCCTCTTTCTCCTTACTCCCTATTCTCCCTTCCTCTTCTAATATTCCTCTTCTTCTCTCTTCCTTCCCCTTTCCTCTTCCTCCTTCCTACTTTCCCCCTTCCCCTTTCCAGATATTTTATCACTGTGTACATACTGTCATGGTGATTAAGTTTTATTCCTCTTTACCCTTACTCCCTATCCTCCTATTCTCCCTTCTCTTTCATATATTCTTCCTCCTCCCTTCCTTCCTACTTTCCCTCTTTCCCTTCCCTGGTATTTTACCTCCAGATACATCCACTGTCGCTGTACTTGTAACAGCATTTCCACCACCTCTAGGATATGAGATAGAACTCTCTCCCAGCGGTCCACCTCTTGCTCGAACGCCTTCACAAACCGCGAGGCCTTCATGGTGGACAGTTGTACCTGGTTGTCCTCAAGGGCCAGGAACACATCGTCTGTTGACCTGGAAATAATATTAACCATAAACATGATGTTGGAAAAGAAAATTGATTTTGATCATATATAGCATCCACACATTTCTTAAATTGGGTTTCAAGGTCATGAGAGATCAGATGTAAAATTAAAACAAAGACATATATCTTTTTTTTATTTTTTTTTCATCTCGCGCATCCATTTCCATTACTTACTGTATTTTGTGTAATAAGTACCCAGGTCACTTGAAAAAATTGACTGAGAGAGGCGCTTATAAAATAACAAAAAAATTGTTGTGGCAGTTACTGTTAATGTAGTACTGTACACTTTGTATCAAGTACTACAGTCTGACAGGTCTTCCATTGTTTCAGAAGAGAACAGTTGGGGAATTCCCAATGGGAATATGTCTGGCAGATAAAAGTCTGGAGTCTGTTCTCTTCTGAAACAATGGAAAACTTGTCAGATCACCAAACTGTAGTGTCTGATGCTTCGTGTACAGTACTACATTTTGTTAACCAGAGAGGGCCAGAATAGAGGGCGTGTTTATGACAGGAGCTGCATATATCATTTCAATAAGTGGCCAAAAAGGGGAAGGGCGCTAATTAAAGCAAATATGGTTAGCCAGAGAAGGCTGGAATGGTGGGTGTGTTTGAGATTGGTCAGCTGCATGTATCATTTCAATAAATAGCCAAAAAGGGGAGGGGTGCTTATCAAAGCAAATATGGTTAGCCAGAGAAGGCCAGAATGGAGGGTCTGTTTGAGATTGGTCAGCTGCATGTAACATTTCAATAAGTAGCTAAAAAGGGGAGGGGTGCTTATCAAAGCAAATATGGTTAGCCAGAGAAGGCCAGAATGGAGGGTCTGTTTGAGATTGGTCAGCTGCATGTAACATTTCAATAAGTAGCTAAAAAGGGGAGGGGTGCTTATCAAAGCAAATATGGTTAGCCAGAGAAGGCCAGAATGGAGGGTCTGTTTGAGATTGGTCAGCTGCATGTAACATTTCAATAAGTAGCTAAAAAGGGGAGGGGTGCTTATCAAAGCAAATATGGTTAGCCAGAGAAGGCCAGAATGGAGGGTCTGTTTGAGATTGGTCAGCTGCATGTAACATTTCAATAAGTAGCTAAAAAGGGGAGGGGCGTTACTTAAAGCAAGTATGTAATGATGTTGATGCTCTCAGTTATGGTCTCCTCCAAAATAACATATATGTCTTCTAGCATTGAGATATAATGTCTCTAGCTGTGAGATAGAGTCTCCTTCAGACGTTTATATAATGTCACTAGCTGTGAGATAGAGTCTCCTTCAGACATTTATATAATGTCACTAGCTGTGAGATAGAGTCGCCTTCAGATATTTATATAATGTCACTAGCTGCGAGATAGAGTCTCCTTCAGACTTTTATATAATGTCACTAGCTTTGAGATAGAGTCTCCTTCAGACGTTTATATAATATCACTAGCTTTGAGATAGAGTCTCCTTCAGACTTTTATATAATGTCACTAGCTGTGAGATAGAGTCTCCTTCAGACTTTTATATAATGTCACTAGCTGTGAGATAGAGTCTCCTTAGACTTTTTTATAATATCACTAGCCATGAGATTGCGCGACTCACTTGAGTTTGAAGTGACCTCTGTCCTTGTAGGGCCCAATATCAAGTTCTGTCACGTTCCAGGTACTTTCTATGCCAGCTATACCCTGTTATCAAAGAAAAGAAAAAAGAAAAAAAAAATTACGTAGAAAACAGTATTCATACATCAATTCTATTGGTACTATTAATAAGCATCAGTCATTCAATATTGTCAGCAGGAAATTACCTGGCTTAATTGTTACATAATAAAACCTTACTTTTTATTGCATAATTAATTCTTTCATAAGTTATCATTTATTTTATTTTTTCAAAAACATCAAACCATCAGTGGATATTTTTTTATCGTTAAATTATAAATTTTAATCTAACACAAAGCTGGGATTTAATCTTACCTGCTCTATGGCTAACTCTTTGGTAGCAGCACCTGAGATATCACCGATCTGTTCAGCAAACTGGTCAAACCCGTACTCAATTATCTTTTCCAGAGTGAAGTCTTCGCTGTTGTGATCAAACTCCTTCGCCATGTCTTTCTGTAAACCACGACATTGGGATGTTGGAATCATTTTGAGGTAAATTAAATTAGATAAGAATAAAAATTGTGTACTGTATTTAACCCCCTATGCAGCTTCTGGTAGCATAGCAACCCGGAAAAAATGGAATGCAAACAGAACCATTCAACATTTTCAAAAACTAGCGACATTGAACATTAATTTAAAAATTGTGTACCGTATTAAACCCAACGCAGGTTCTGGTAGCATAGCAACCCAGAAAAATTAGAATGTTAGCGGAACCTTTTAACATTTTCAAAAATTAGCCACAATAAACAGTATTTCTTAAATATTGTTATCAAATATTATTATGACAATCTTAATGACTCGTAAACACAGAGGAGGTCATAAGGGCCAATAAATGGTTGATAAAACTAGAAACCAATGCTAACACATGAATGCTCCCTTGGCCCTGTGGTAGGCCTATATATAGCATTAGTGACCTTGGGATTGAGTTTGGGACCCTGAAATACAAATTCGTACTTTAATAACCATTGTATAACTTTGATGATTTTTTTTTATGAATTGAAGTTTGTAGAGTCATAGTGCTGTTCAATTAAAGACAGGTTTCTTCAACCGTACCTGTATCTGTGTCCAATGGCGAGGTCTCATGGCCTTGTTTTTCAGGTCGTTAATGAGGGGCATGGTTCGCTTGAACTGGTCAACCTTATTCCTGCTTGTATCAACCACCTCCCAATTCTTGTCCTGAAACAGAATGTTTCTTCATTAACTGAATTACACATCAATTTGTAAGTGTGAACATCAAAATTAACACCAAAACCTAAAATTACTTTATTATATGTCTCCCTCCATGTAATGCCAAATGTACCCCAGTATAACGCCAACATTTTTGCTGGACTTCTGGAGGAAGTATAACAAAGTTTCACTAAAATGCATTGTGAAAACTTTTTTGTTCATTTTTGGAATCACAATCTAAAAAAATAGAAATAAAATAATTTCAAAGCTTTTAATGCATTGACTAAACAAGTTTCTAGATATCACGTCAAAACTTTTCTTTTTAAATTACAAAATAAATCTTTAATCTTTAAGCATCACCTTTCAAATCATACATGCTCTCTATTAATTAACACACATACCATAATTTTTAAATGACTATTTAAACTTAAAACTGAATTTAAACTTTTACATAACTTACATTAGTGATTGTGCATTGAGCATCTTATCTGTACAAATTTCAATTCAAAATCAGAGGAATAATGACAGATATACTGATAAAGTACCTATTTTAGTGATTCTTATTTTGGTGCCTTTTGAACTTCAATATTGCACTCAGTTATGATGAACTAAGTTTTTGTTCATTGTTCACTATTGCAGATGCTGTTGGTGAGCCAACAATAGCTACACTGAGTGTATACCTTGAGCTCCTTGCTGAAGCGGTTGAGTTTTTTGTAAATAGCCTGTGAGTTATTCTCCATATCAGCAGTCTGAAGTTCAGTGAACTTGTTGCCCTTCCAGTCGGACCATAGTCCTTCCCAATCCTTGTTCAGGTTCCAGATCGTTTCAATCAACTCCAGGTCCTAATGAGTACAATATTAGACAGTTACAAATGTTACAGTTACTGTAGGACACAACTCCAGGGCCTAATGAGTACAATGTTAGACAGTTATAAACGTTACAGTTACTGTAGGACACCACTCCAGGACCTAATGAGTACAATGTTAGACAGTTACAATTGTTACAGTTACTGTAGGACACAACTCCATGTCCTAATGAGTACAATATTAGACAGTACAAACGTTACAGTTACTGTAGGACACAACTCCAGATCCTAATGAGTACAATATTAGACAGTACAAACGTTACAGTTACTGTAGGACACAACTCCAGATCCTAATGAGTACAATATTAGACAGTACAAATGTTACAGTTACTGTAGGACACAACCCCAGGTCCTAATGAGTACAATATTAGACAGTACAAACGTTACAGTTACTGTAGGACACAACTCCAGATCCTAATGAGTACAATATTAGACAGTACAAACGTTACAGTTACTGTAGGACACAACTCCAGGGCCTAATGAGTACAATGTTAGACAGTTATAAACGTTACAGTTACTGTAGGACACCACTCCAGGACCTAATGAGTACAATGTTAGACAGTTACAATTGTTACAGTTACTGTAGGACACAACTCCAGGGCCTAATGAGTACAATGTTAGACAGTTATAAACGTTACAGTTACTGTAGGACACAACTCCAGGGCCTAATGAGTACAATGTTAGACAGTTATAAACGTTACAGTTACTGTAGGACACCACTCCAGGACCTAATGAGTACAATGTTAGACAGTTACAAACGTTACAGTTACTGTAGGACACAACTCCAGTTCCTAATGAGTACAATATTAGACAGTACAAACGTTACAGTTACTGTAGGACACAACTCCAGATCCTAATGAGTACAATATTAGACAGTACAAATGTTACAGTTACTGTAGGACACAACTCCATGTCCTAATGAGTACAATATTAGACAGTACAAATGTTACAGTTACTGTAGGACACAACTCCATGTCCTAATGAGTACAATGTTAGACAGTTATAAACGTTACAGTTACTGTAGGACACAACTCCAGTTCCTAATGAGTACAATATTAGACAGTACAAACGTTACAGTTACTGTAGGACACAACTCCAGGCCCTAATGAGTACAATGTTAGACAGTTACAAATGTTACAGTTACTGTAGGAGATGTCAATTCCTGTTTGAATTTAAATAAATCCTTTTTCTTTTATTTTCGTACCAAATACATTTGTACTCAAATCCAATTAATCAAAAATGAAAAAAAAAAATAAGCCATGCCCTCTAACCCTTTCACCCCTGATGTAACTTTATTAGACTCTACCATGCATTGATATGGAGGAGTCCATGATGGTCTACAGTGGTGAAAGGGTTAAGATATTTTTTTCTGTAACAGCAACATAAATCAATAAAGCCATTACTAAAAGCAGGTTAACCAATCGTCTTGTCTTGTTTTATCTTTATGACATTTAAACCAGCAGGTAACTTATAAGTTAGCACTAAAGGTGATTTTTCAAATTTACATTGTAGAATGGAAAAGAAATTGTCAAAAATTTACTGTGCAGATTCATATATTTATCCATATTTTTTTTTCATATCTATACAAACAAAAATTCAAATTACTCTAAATGCATAATTAACCATCTGAAATTCAGCCCTCTTCACAGATGTACAAATACACTGGTATCATACCTTATCCAGATTTGCGACCTCCTTTGACGGTGGCTGGTCGATCTTGAAGATATTGAGGCCCTTTCTGATTTCCTGCTCTTGTCGTTTAAGTGCGTCTAATTGCTCTTTGATCACCGCTACATTGCTCAAGGCATCAGCCGTTCCGATATTGGCGGCGAATGGACCCTTGGTGGCAAATTCATCCATCAAGTTGTGTATCTGCTTCTTGAATTCTTCCGACTGTGCAAGCAATCCACTCTTGAATTTCTCCTACAATTCGTAAAATATTGCATATAATTTTCGTCAAAATGTGTTCTACAGCAGAAGCTAGAAAATAAGACAACATATAGGATAGGGCGTTTTATCTGGAAAGATAGGTAAGACATAGACGGGTAGTTTTCCATGTCTTGTTCTGGTTCAGTGTTCCTTTTCTTACACACATTATGTTCAATAAAAGCAAGTAAGTGATGCAGAGTAAAGGCCAGGGATTCTGTAAACGTAGACTTTATATGTTTACACGATCAGGACGCGGCCCTAAGTGACCATAATATTCAATGGTCTGTTAAACACAAACAAACTTGGATGGCAAGGTCATGACATCAGATGGCAAGGTCATGACATCAGCAATCACCATGTCTAACAACGAGAGTTTAAAAGTCAAAAATATCAGCCTAAGAAAACTAAAAATATTTCCTTCTTTAGTTGGTAGAATGAAAATGCAGAGCAGTAGAGCAGTTAAGACTATCAGAACTGACCACTGTCCACTTGTGTACATGTATCAGAACTGACCACTGTCCGCGCGTGTACATGTATACTGACCTTGTGTTTCTTCAGCATCGTCTCCGCGTCAATCAGGACCTGTTGGAACGTCACCCACTCATTGCTCAAGTCGTTCAGCATGGCCGTCACCTGGTGATCAAACAGAAACATGTCACACCTGAATGGTCAGCTTCAAATCATCAGACAATGGTACACCGTACTTAGACCTTACATGTATATAGTGTCAGTCTCTTATACTCACTATTTAACATCATTCCAATCAATTTGACTAATTAATCGGTAGGATTAGACTATAGTCTAAGTCTATACTAGCTCTCTCCTTGAAAAAAATGAAAATTTATCTCCATCATCTAGGTGTTGAATTTGTTAAATGGCTAAAAATGTTGAATAAATTTATGAAAAGGGGCGAAAGCTTCCCTTTTACTGTGTACATAAATGAAAGGTGCCTGTTACCTCCTCAGGGATCGCGACTTCATATTTCTCCAGGATACCAAACTGGTCATGCAGGGGTGGGAACTTGGCCTCTGTGTCAGCGAGCCCAGTGTGTAACTGTTCCCACAGATTTAGGCTGTTACCAAGCTCGTCCAGGGTCTGTGGAGGTTTACTAACACTGGAGATAAAACATAACACAGGTGTCACACAAACCACAGATATCATACATAACACGGGTGTCACACCTACCGGTATACGGGTGTCACACAAGCCACAGATATCATATATAACACAGGTGTCCCACAAACCACAGACATCATATATAACACAGGTGTCACAAAAACCAGATATCATACATAACACAGGTGTCACACCTACTGGTATACAGGTGTCACACAAACCACAGATATCATATATAACACAGGTGTCAAACAAACCACAGATATCATATATAACACAGGCGTCACACAAGCCACAGATATCATATATAACACAGGGGTCACACAAACCACAGACATCATATATAACACAGGTGTCACACAAACCACAGACATCATATATAACACAGGTGTCACATAAACCAGATATCATACATAACACAGGTGTCACACCTACTGGTATACAGGTGTCACACAAACCACAGATATCATACATAACACAGGTGTCACACAAACCACAGATATCATATATAACACAGGTGTTACACAAACCACAGACATCATATATAACACAGGTGTCACATAAACCAGATATCATATATAACACAGGTGTCACAGATATCATATATAACACGGGTGCCACACAACCCACAGATATAATATATAACACAGGTGTCACAAAAGCCACAGATATCATACATAACACAGGTGCCACACCTACCAGTATACAGGTGTCACACAAGCCACAGATATCATATATAACACAGGTGTCACACAAACCACAGATATCATACATAACACAGGTGTCACACAAGCCACAGATATCATACATAACACAGGTGTCACACCTACCAGTATACAGGTGTCACACAAGCCACAGATATCATATATAACACAGGTGTCACACAACCCACAGATATCATATATAACACAGGTGTCACACAAACCAGATATCATACATAACACAGGTGTCACACCTACTGGTATACAGGTGTCACACAAACCACAGACATCATACATAACACATGTCACAGTCATAAGAATGTGGTAATGAGTGCATTTTATACATGTGTATAAAGAGGGATTGTGTACCTATTTGTAACCCTTGTCTGCGAAATCTGCTTGACATGGGTTTTTTGGGCTAAAACCTCATCTTATCACAGGTAGGTCATATACAGCTGGTGTTAAAGTAAAATTGTAATAATTTATCTGCCCTTGTTAATCATAATGAGAATAGGATTGCATTTAGCTAAAACTGCATGAAATATTGATCTTTTACCAATTATGATCATTTTAAATACAAATTCCTTGAAAAAATAAATATTTCTCAATGATTTTTGAAAAGACCCTTTTTCCTACAATATTGCTTGTAATAAAAGCAAAAAAAGGAAAAGAATAATCTCAATTTATCCCTCCCTCCGCACCCTCACACAACCTTGTCAATCACATCTGTCATTCACACCTACATGGCCCTATTTACTCATTCACCCCCTGAAATTTCATAATGAACTATTCCAACCAGTGAATTGGAAGAGTTCAAATGTGTCTTCAGGGGTCAATGAGTTGGGTACATTAAGATCACGTACTTGGTGCTGTTGTCCTTGAGGAAGTTATGGAGCTCGTTGAGGCGACTGGTGGCGATCTCCTTGAGGAGGGAGGTGAATTTGTTCTGCCACTCCTGACAATGACCGAGGATGGCGTACTTGAGCGGAGAACAGTCCAGGAGTACAAACTGGATGTTGAGGATTGTTTCCTGAGTCTGGACGTTGTTGGCCACCTCATCGTACCTGTAATGGACAATGGTCAGCAGGGTCAAAATTCATTGTACCTGGACGGGTTTGTTGTCATAACGAACAAGATACACTTTAGGTCAGCAGGATTTGAAATGATCGTACTTGGATGGGCTAATCTTCATTACTGTTGGTCAGCAGAATTAAATATTATTACATAAAATTCTATTCCTCAGCACTTCCATCCTCGACACTCAAGGGCCTCGCTCACTTTTGCTCTCTGCAACCCTGGAATATGTCACAGCAAAACCGAAGGCTCAGTGTTTGTCACTTTATGGATGAGACAAACCCCTGGAGTATCGAGGATGCAGCACTTCTGAAAAAAATATACTGTAATGACCAATGGTCAGTACAAGTTCCTTGTTTAAAACTACTATACTTCACCTAACATTCTTACTAAACAACCATCTCACCTGGCAATGTCGGCATCAAAGGAAGAGACCTGTGGGTTAAGTTTCTGGTAGCGTTTGATAAACATGTCCTTGTTTATCTCCCAAATCTCACGGTAGTTGTCCCACGTACTCAGATAGTTCTGTAGATTGGTGGCGTTCGTCTGCATTCCTGTGTTTATAACCGTCTGGATCTTCTTTGTCTCCTCGTCCCGCGATATCACATCATGGATTGGCTGCAAAACACATCAAAATGTCACCATCTTGGGTCATATCCATCAAAAATATAGTTCTGAAAATTTCTTTTCTGAAAACTGGGGATATGAATTTTTTTCTTGTTTGTTTCTTGATGACACAAACAATAAGTAAACAAACTTGTATTGATGTATACAACAAAACCTGTCTAGAATGACAACTTTGTTGAGGGACAGACTCTTTTTAAGCACTTTTATGATTTTAGGATTTTATGAATTTGATTGAGGGCGGTTGAACTTGTTATAAACACCACCTGTCTTGAGAGAACACTTTAACTTTCCTTATTTTTTTTTTCTTTCGTTCAAGAAATTTATATGAGAAAATCTAATCAATGAATTAGAACCAATATCTGCTTGTTATCTTGTACACATGTATTTACATCTTTGGTGGAGCGTTTCTTGGTGAGGATGTTGGGAAGACGGACAATGCCGGAAACAGCCTTGGTCAGCTGACCTCCAATACTGCCTATCCCATTGGCCAGTTGTTTGAGTGTGGGCTGGAACTCAACCTATATAAAACAAGTACACTATTAATAATGATTTGGCATGAAAGCATTCAAACTATCTAAAACTGGTAAAACTAAAATACTAACAAGTCTCGCTATGTGCCTTGACCTTAAAAACTTTTTAAACCCCTATTGTACATCTTCATACCACAGTGTATCACTGTGTCAAATTTCAAAAAGATTAGACAGTTGAATTCTGAGATTAGGACCAAAACACAAACACATCCCCCTCCCCCAGTCTATTTTCAGTAGCAGTGACCTTGACCTTTACCTTAGAAAAATGTCAAACCCCTGCATATCAACATTTCACAAGTGTATCACCATGTCAAATTTCAGAAAGATTTTTCTTTCAGTTTACGAGATAATCTTTTTTTTAACAATTTCTCTATGTATCTCACTTGATATATCGCCAAGCATCTTTATATTAATATTCTATCATTGTCTTTATATAAATGCCAAAATCTGGTCGAACCAATGTTGGCAGTATACCAAGGTTTTACTGTTGATAAGACTGTTTACATGTGATTTCCTACCTTGTCGCCTTGGAGACAAACTTTCACCCTAAACAGAGGGTTAGGGGCAGACTTTCCGTCTCCGTTGATGGCCTTGGACAGTTCCTGGAGTGACCATTTGATGTTGAGTCGGAAGGCTTCCTCCACCATTCTGTCCATCTTCTCCGTGTATCTGTGCCAGTGTTGTTGTACCTGTAGTGTAATATAGTTGGTGTATATTTTTTATTCCGTCAGCTAAACATAGTACACGGTAGTCCTTCATTAATATAATAACAACTTGCATTCAAAACACTGAACAAGAAAAAAATTCTACTCAATCTTTTAGGATGGTTTGTTTTGTTCCATGATCCACCTTAAACAAACTGTTTGATCAAATAATGGAACAGCCATTTTTGTCGGAAACTAGGTTGTGTTTCCTATGGTTTCCATTTCAGGTCACAAGTTTCAATCAGAATCCCCTTGAAAAACTCAATCAAAGAATTGATGACACCTCGTGTTTGATCCTTGATATAATTCGGCTGGTATGATCGAGAGACTTGGAAACATTCACATGTAATAGTCTTTTGTCTAAATAACAACAATTTTTTAGATGGCAAGTTAATTTAGTCATTGTCGTATACGTCCATTCTCACTGCCCTGGTTCCCGTAGAAAACGTATAAAATACCTTTCCAGAACAGCTATTCTTATATTTCTTGTACTTTTTCAAGATTCTCCACGAAAATCTTTCCTTGGTTCATAGTTAAATCGTTTTTGAGTTCAAGTTATGGTTTAGTTGACACTTGAATGTGCTCTTTGGTTTTTTTAGACCCTGTACAAGGGATGTGTAAATATACGATACATAACAACAATGTTCACGTTATATTGAAGTGTATGTATTACCTTTAGTATAGCATAATCTAAGTCATCAATGATAAAAAAAACATGCCTAATTAAACAAACTCAACACTGCTTTCCCCAATGGTATCAATACCAAATGATGATGATGACATCACAATTTGTGAGGTCATGGTTTGATGACGTCATTGTGTTGTGTTGACGTCATGGTAACAGTGTTATGACGTCATCAACGTCATAGTTACTCAACATGTTTGTCAAGATGGATGTGACATAGAGGTCTAGTGACATTTAATCCCTGAGGAAGGGCTAAGCCCGAAAGCTTGGAAAAGAGTGACTTACAAGTTCATGAACATGCCTAATTAGTTTGTGTGTCTGAATAAATACACAAGTCAACATACCCATTGTATACAGGACAGTTTTCATGATGGTGTGTCATTTTCCTGCTTTTTACACTAAAATTTGCAATTTAACAAAATTTGTGATGTTTTTTTGTTTTTTTTTATGAAAGTAAACCTCCAAACCCATCACTTTGGTGGGCATACACCCAATACTTCCTGATCATGAACTTTTTTTATCAACGAAAATGCAAAAATAACAAAACATACCTCCATGCCGTCGTTTTTGAAGACTTCGTATGTCAACCTCATGGTCCTGACTAACTCGTCGTGTAAAGCCTTCAGTTTCCTGGAAACATTTTCTCTGTGATTTGCCTGAAAAATATTAAGAGCGCCAGTATTAAAGATGACACATGCCAGACAATCTTCGGTAAACAACTTTATCCAAAACGCATGGTTTAATAATACAAACGAACGAGAGTTCCACCAAGGGGAATCACTCTAGTTACACAAGGTTACACACCACCATTAGGCTACGCTACTGTCACTAACTATGGTGGCGGAGCACATAACAACTTTGAACTTTCATCTCCAATTTCAAATTTTTACCCTCATTCAAAAATCATCTTTCTTTCTACATAGATGTGTACTGCATTGAATTTTGAATTATAAACTTTTAAATGTTTGTTAAAAAAGAATTTGACATTTCTTAATCTTCCCTCTTAATTTGGTTATATTCATAAATTATTTTGATAAGATGATTTTTTGAATCATTTCAAAAGTTGATCAGCAAAGAAATTCAAAGGAAACACAAGTCAAGCAGGTTACATACACCCAATGACTTGCTCAAGGTTCAATAATACATTTTACATTTTAGATATTAGTGAAACCTCGTTCTCTGGATCTGAAATGTCTAACAGTTGCCATTGTACTAAGAGTTTCAAAAACATATAACATACAAAATTTAATAGAAATAAATAATCATTCTTTACCTGTTCTTCGTCAAATTCCAAATTCTTGTAGACTTTACGAGGGTCTATGCTGATAAGCAGCATATCACTGATCTGAACACACTGCTTAGAAATATCCATGTTAGCGTTCTTATAGTCATCCACGACCACCTGTATCTTACTGGCGTTGATACGGCAGTCCGTCACGAAAAAGTCTGAAATACCCTTCGATGCCCAGGTCAGTTTGGTCAGACCAGGGTGAATCTTCTTGTCTAGGAAACGAATCCTTTCTTTAAATAGTCCTCGTTCTTCCACAGAAAGAGCTGCAATTATTCTGAGGAGAAAAAAAATAACACAATTTTAAACTAAACCAGAAAATTTATGAGAACATATATGCCCCTGCTCCATTGTTTTTTTGGCAAATTTCTATAAATTGTACTGAGACCGTGACATTTGGCTCCTGAAATACAAACTCTACTGAACTATTCACATACATGACCTCTGTGTAAGTTTGATCAAAGCTTCTCAACAAAATGTCTTTAAATAGTTATGGTGACTTTGGCATTGACCTTGGAAACCTGAAAACACATGCTCGTTTTTCTTACTTAATCTCTGTATACATTTTGATCAAAATCTGTTAACAAAATGTTGCTCGAATGACGATAATGAATCAGGACATGATAAGATGTGTCAGGGTACCAGGTCATACCATATGCCCCCCCCCNATTTTCAAAAAGTATAGAGATAATTCAAAGACTTTATTTCTCATTTTCCCGTTAGATTTCACTATAGAAGTGTAACGGAAAGGAGTAAAACGAATGATAAGTGCCTCCAGTGGGGACAGACCACAGACCACAGACCACAGACAGACCACAGACAGACCACAGACCACAGACAGACCACAGACCACAGACCACAGACATTCTAGTACGAAGCTCTACCACTGAACTTAGGGGAATTATCTATTTGACGAAACTGGAAAAGTCACTTCCAAAGACAACACTAGCCGACAACACTAGCGGATGATCTGAAAAATTTATGTTTTTCTTCTATGACATATATTTATATTTATATATATTTATGTTTAAAAATGCTTCAAATACTTTTTCACTGAAGAAGGAGAGGATGAGACAGGGTGCATAAAGAAGAACAGACACTAAATAAGGCAAATACAGCATCTGGGAAGTGATTGACCTTATATGGTAGGGCGCAAAGATTACCTGTTGTAGTCGCGGACGACCAGCAGCACATGTTCCCGGAGGGCACGGAGATCCTCCCGCTTGTTGTATACATCCGTGGCATAATGAGGAATCTCAAACATGAGACGCTCCCAGTAGTGAATCTCCTGGAAAATCTTCAGTAGACTCCTGCGAAAACATGTCACATACACATCACATACATTTTCTTAACAAAAATATATATGGTTTGATTTCTTAATGATAATACATGTACAAAATGATAAAGACTTGAATTACATAACGACAATAAATGAATTTTGAAATTATGATGACAATGTACTTACTGAAAACAAAATCCATGCATCAGTTGGGTTTTTTTTTCAGTTTTTACCTGTTGAAATGTATTTGTTGTCTTACCTGTTGAAATGTATTTGTTGTTGTCTTACCTGTTGAAATGGACATTTGTTGTCTTACCTGTTGAAATGTATTTGTTGTTGTCTTACCTGTTGAAATGGACACTTGTTGTCTTACCTGTTGAAATGGACATTTGTTGTCTTACCTGTTGAAATGGACATTTGTTGTCTTACCTGTTGAAATTGATGTCTAACATGGGAGGTTTCTCGCTGCTCCTACACATCAGTGGTACCTCTAGTAACTTCATGGGCTCCTGTAGACAACACAACAGTACCGTTCTATCACTGCTCAGAATTATATCATAAGCAAAACAATACCAGAAATCAAGTTTACACTTTTTTACAATTTAGTTTATCACTAATAAAACCATAATTTACATTATATATATTATGACATTTTTTAAAAACATCATCCTGATTACTTCATTACTGAAATCAACAATAGAATAAGTTTTCAGAAATTTTACAGATTTCAAAGACGAATTGATAAAGAAAATCACAAACGAAATTATTTTGTCCTCATAGTACAGTTTTTTGTTCATCAAATGTTTTCCTCACAAAGCTAGAATGCAGATACTACATGCAAAAAGTCACGCTTGATATTTGCCTTGAAAATTAAACATAAAAACATCTATGTTTACAAAACCAAAATTTAAATATTAAGTTTACATATGACATTGAATCTTAAATCTGTGCTGTACATAAGTTGTGATATATAGTGCTGAAAGTAAAAACTGACAGAAAACTCTTCAAGCATCTCAATGTAAAAATAATCAAAATTTTATTTTCATAACCAATTTAAAATGGAACAGGTGAATAACCTGACTGCATAATATTGATATAATACTGACAGATTCTATTATGTTACAGTGGAAAGGTCAGAGATGTTATTGTATAGAGTGGAAATATGTAAACACAGACACCTTTAAGTCAAACACTTCACTTTTTATGTCCATTACATCATAGAACAGAACACTGAGGATAACTGATAATATAACTCAAAATTGTTAATTGATTAAACCGTAACCTACAACTATGCTTAAACTTAATAAAAACTACTTCTCCAAAATGGCAGAAAAACGTATATGTCGCTTGTACTCCAATGATCCCTCACACCTTACTTCAAAAGCCAAAATAATTAAAATTTTATTTTTATTTTTATTTCAAAAGCAAAAATTCCCAAGTTGCCATTTGGTGTTAACCTATTTCTGTATTCTGATCATTTTCATCTCCTTGCCTGTCCCTGGTATCACTTATGGTACCAGTACAATCTATGTGATACCTCGAACCTTGAAATATATATTTAATCCATGTTCGAAAACATATATATTACATATACACATATAATTTTTCATATACTTCAGTAAAATTCCGTTAAGTTATAAAAGTTTTTGCATTGGGAAACAAATCAGTTTAAGGAAAATTTATTTTCTTTTTAAGATTTTTCCTAACCTCCAGCAATGTTGGTAAAAATTAAGATAAGGAATATCTTTAACATTTGTGAAATTTAGATCAGAAACAAAAAGTGTCTGTTTTTGCAACTTTCCACTTCATATTATTTCCGCTATATATTGTTGTATTAAAGACAGAGCTCATATCATTGGTTATGATATTTTACCCCACACAGATTGCCCGAGATCTGTGTGTGTGTGTTATACTCTGTTACCGCTAAAGGTTATGTCAGTAAAGTCAGAGGGTTAAATCTTACCACCAGGTTTATCAGTTATATGTGATGTTGTAGCCTTGTACTGAACAGGCTTCGGGGAACTAGCACAAACTTCTCGGACAATCTCAAACTGATTTCTGTTCAAATCTATATATTTTTTGAAAATGTATTCAATTTCAGTAAATGGCTAAAAGTTTTTGATCTGAATTTCTCTATCAAAATTCTCTTCTATCTTATGATTTTTTTTCCTTCAAAATTATACAAACATAAATTTCAAATTCAGGAAAAAATATTAAGTCAATATAAATATTGTGGACGCATATTGGTGGTAGACATTTGCATGAAATTCTGATAAGATTTTAATTACACTGTGCCTCTATTTTATCGAAGAAAAAATTAAAATGCAAAACTGTCTTTAAAGTTGTGTTAAGTTCCCGAACTGTTGAGAGAGATACCTAGTACTCACCAGGCACCATTGTAGGACAATTTTAGAAGATTGTTATTTCAGGAGCTTTTTTCATGAGAGATTGCAATGATTTTATCTGCTGCCACACATATGTTTGGTAAGTGCCACACTGATATTTAAAAAGCTATAAAATAAGCCCCTCTCATACTTTGTAATAATACCATATATATATATATGTATATTAATTTCAAGCAATTATGATATTGATATTCACTTCTTAATTCTAAGTCCATCAAGAAGCTAGATGATATAGTTCCCTTTGTTAAAACTGTCAAAACATGCATATAAGGTTAACATAGTTAAATATTGCTGTAATATAAATACAAGTTTGTATTACCCTGTAATATTGGTGCAGTATATATATATTCCCTCAATGTTAAATGTTCCATGTTGATAGCATGCTTCAGTAGATTGAAGTTCCCTTTCTTTACTCTGGCTCATCTCACGGACATGATGGTCAATAGTTTTGTCTTATATTGGATTTATTACATGTACCGGTATCATGTATTTACAGATCTAATTAATTTAACTCAAAATGTATTTTTCTATCAAACAGTAATTCTTACAATCAAAATAAAATTTCATTTTATATTAAATTGTAAAATCTTCTTGGCCTGGTGGTTCCAAGAATGAAGGTAAACAAGTCGTTATTGCAATTTTTTGAAAAAAAACATAATTTTAAATAATATCTGAAAATTAACATTTTTTTCCTTTAGATGATCATTTATATGTAAGATTGGTGTGAACTTGTGGGCTATCTATCAAAATTTTATCAATTGAGCCCTAGAGATAAAATTCTGTCAGTCTGATCGCATCAAAAAAAAATAGAAAAAAATAATTGTGTAAGAAATGTACTTGTATACAACACGTCCTGATAGCCAGAGTAAGATACAAGGGAGATAACCCTGTCTAACATTACACCTTGTCTGCTCCACCCACGCATATATACCTACCGGAATATTCATGATAGCGGCAGTGGAGGAGCAAATCTGCAGAAAACATCTAGTGCTTTAATACCGATATATAGCGCATACTTTTATCATTTCTGTGGGTGTGAGTTTGTTTTTGTTTTATTTTTAAACCCTCATCTACACAAATGAACAGATGAGAGTCACAGGAATGTCTAAAACTAAAGTTAACACTGAGACCCTTCTAACCAAATATTGTCTTTGTCCTGTTAGTGTACACACCCTGGTGTAGCTTGTACCGTTCAAACAGCTCTCTAAACAACATTTTCAGGAAGTACAGAATATCGCCATAAGTATATAATGTATGTGAATTATATGTGAACAACTCAGTCCCCTCCTGCAAAAGATGTCAATATTTTAACCAAACTGTGACCGACTTTGTATAGAGTTCACCCATACTAACGTGTGTATGGTTCTATGAACTTTGTTTAGAAAAGAAGACGTCATTATCTAATGTCAATTATACTGCAAAACACTTCATTTTCATGAGTATATATTTTCACAGTTTTGCTTAAAACTACAGATGGAACTATTCGCAAGGACAAAAATTACAAAATTAATAATGATATATCATCATTGAATAGTCATGGACACACAGTGCCATTTAAAGTCAATGAATATTCATTAATGAATATTCAAGAATTATTACTGACCAGCAAATCAGGGAAATAGATTATTTTATGTGCTAGATTTCATATTCTAGAATATGTAAAATCATGACAGTCACCTTGTAAGTTAATGTGAAAATATGTAAGTCATAAAAAACATGAATTTACAGTGTCTACATCACCAAATCACCAAATACTTAGTCTGAATTCCATAAAAAAAATGCTACATGAACAATGATATCTAAAAAAAAAAAAATTCTTCTACATGATACAAAGGACCCTGTGTTACCTTAAACTGGTACACCTACATATATTTGTACACATAGCCAGAACAACATTTCTACTTAAAAAAAAAAAAAAAAATATTACCGAGTATTATTACTCTTAGGACATAATGCTTTGAATTTCAAGCAGCAAGCAAAAATTTTCTTTAGCTAACATTTCTACAAAAGCCAGAACAAACGTAAGTTATCAGTAACGTTCCATGTGCACGATTCTTTTTCTTATCTTACTAATTCTAGTACAAATGACCATTACTATTCAGTAAGACTCTTTTTGTGAGAATTTTTACGATTCAAATTTACTTGACAAACCAAAAAAAATCCTTAGCGTAATTCTGGGAATGTTTACATTTTTTTTAACATTTCTATTCAGTAAACTTCTATCAAAACTTGCAAACAGGGAAATAAAGTTTTCAATCCCAAGCAGCACAAACCACTCGCTATCAAGGAAATAAAAAAGTTCGAAATCTGTGTCACAGATTCTACAAAAGCATAAAGAAATTCACTTGTAGTTTTGCCCTTCACAGAAATTGAAGTAACAGAAGAAATGAAAGAGATGTACGTAGGCCGAGAAATAAGATAGAAAATCATTCTTCAAACAAAAACAAAAGTCATCAACTTACACTTATCTGTAAAATATACAAATAATCAGAAATCATGCAGTGTATTTCTTTTTGTCATAAATTCACTAGCTTGTTGATTTCATATATCACTTTATGAAGATTTGTGGTATATATATTAGTTGCAAAACAAACATAAAATATCAACCAAGATGTTAAAATGAATCAAATCACAAAACAAATTGAAAATTATCTTTCCCTTTTATATTCATTACCATATCTAATTTCTTCATGATAAATCTTGTTTAATTTCTATCCAATTTACTATTTTTCCCCATTTTCATTTTCTTTAAAATATTCATAAAAGCAAAATAAAAATGAAAATTATGTGAATATGATATTTTTTTAGATTGACCACTGTATAATCCTAATACAGTAAATATAACTGCTACACAGTAAAAATCACATTTATATAGTAAATATAAGTTCTTAATCAAATAAATATGCTAAACAGGAAATATCATTACTGTACAGTAACTGAATTATTGACATACCGGTAAGATGTTTCAGTATAATAGTATAGATAGGGTTTTCACAGATATACTTAGATTGGATGGGGATGGCATGCATTGATGGGCCTATAATTTCTTTGGATAAAATCTTAAGCTTCAATGGAACTTTTTTCTATATTTCTGTTATATAAATGAAGTTATTGAATATACATTGCCAAAATTTCCATTCAAATTGAAAAAAATATTAGCCATCGCATCATGTGATATAGTTTCTTAATTAAACCAAATAAAAAAACATTAGTTTTCACTTAGATAGTTAGAAATAAATCAAAGCTTAAGTTTTTTTCTCAGGTAAAATCAGAACTATGACATTGGTGAATACAAGAGTATAATAGGGACAATGTTTGTCTATCTTTACTGTGGATATGTTAATTGAACAACAAAACAGCCCGCCTTAGCTCCAATAAACACACTTTAGTCACTGCCAGTGTTAAACTCTTTGAGGTTGGACAAAGGCCAAACTGCTTCCATAGGATATAAATGGCTCTTTCGATTTATGAATTTACTTTTATCTGAACATAAATAGTGTTCTGGACTAGTTAGTACCTAGTTACTTAAGATATCTGAAAGGATGTTTTGCACAAACAAGAATTACGAAATATTAAATAAGGTAACACCCAAATATTAACAAATAAAATTATCATTATTTTTACATGAAAATGATTGTTGATTGAAAGATCTAGTACAAACAAGAATCATGAATGTTTTCAGAAACTTGGATTATCAGCTATGAAATATCACAATATAATCAAACTTGTATAAATTATAATAGGGGGTGTAAAAATGTCACTTTTCTAATGTCTAGAAAAACCCGGCTAAGGCAATTTCTAAATCTTCACAAAGCGGTCAAGTCCAATAATGCTCATTTATATATAACATTATATAAAAATATTTCAGTTCAGACAAACTGATTTTTAAACCTATTTGTTCTGGGTAAGGACTTTGAAAATTATTTTTACACCTATGGAAACAGATTAATGAAAAAAGTGTTTTTAATGAGACTCCAGGCTTCCAATTCAAACATACAAAACCAAAATAACACAGTAGGAGATAGATGTGTTACCTTGTCCACTGTCTGCGTCCACTCGTGGAAAGTTTTGCGGATGTATTCGTCCAGAGCGAGACAGAGCTGCTGATACTGGGTCCTCACCTCCTCTCCAGACCCTATATGGGGCAGGAAGTGGGCGCGGTCCAGGATCTGAGCGAATGATACACGTCACACATATGTATACCTCTATCTCAAATAAATCATTGTAATACATATATTCATTGTACAATGGTATAAATAATGGGAAATCAACTAAAAAATGCAAAGGTACATTTGTTGGAAGCCAGAATATATCAGTCGATCTACATCATGTAATTTTCCTTTTTTTTCTGAGATTTCACAGAAACAACAGTTTTTTCAAAAAATGAAAGTCACTATACATACCATCATGCCCCTCTCGATCCTACGCTTGAGTTGTCGGGCCCAAAGTCCCTGTCCAGCAAACTTGGGATGGCTGGGCGACTGTTTGAGTGATTTCTGTGTGAGCTCCTTCTTGACGGCGTTCAGCTCCTCGTTGAACATGGTGTACACATCAACGGTCTTCTTGTCTATCGTTCTCTTGATTGCCTTGACACACAAAAAACAGCCATGAACAGCTTGTCTACAGACACCCTAACACGTTTTCAACTTTTTTCATGTGTCTAGCTCTTTAATTAAGTACTTATAGATCACATATTATTAAACAACTGAAATTTTTCTGATGAATTATTTGTCAAAACTTATTTTTGTGAGACATTTAAATTCATCATTTAAACTTTATTCAGGGTATCTTCTTGTGAATTATCAACAGAAAATCATGTTTCTCAAGATATCTATTATTGTTCACAAGGATCAACAAATTCCTGAAAGCTTATTCAGTTTCTCAAAAAATTATCAATTTCATTCCATCTTCCAAAACTTCTTCAATTTATTCTGTTTTTAAATGTATTCTTTTTTTATCATTTTCTTAAGTTCTCAAGTTCTTAAAAATCCATTTTCTTTTATTCAATCTCCCAATTTGTATTCATTTTATTCAGTCTCAAAATATTTTGGCTGTCACCAAGTCCACCTTAATCTAAGTTTAATCAGCAGCTTCTAATTTCTCACAAAAGAGCAGTGAACTATAAGACTTCCTTATCAGTTGTCATGTATCAGATTTCAGTTTCAGTTGTCCTGTGTTACAGTTTGCATGTATCAGATTTCAGTTTCAGCTGTGCTGTGTTACAGTTGTCATGTATCAGATTTCAGTTTCAGTTGTCCTGTGTTACAGTTGTCATGTATCAGATTTCAGTTTCAGTGGTCTTGTGTTACAGTTGTCATGTATCAGATTTCAGTTTCAGTTGTCCAGTGTTACAGTTTGCATGTATCAGATTTCAGTTTCAGCTGTGCTGTGTTACAGTTGTCATGTATCAGATTTCAGTTTCAGTTATCCTGTGTTACAGTTGCCATGTATCATATTTCAGTTTCAGTGGTCTTGTGTTACAGTTGTCATGTATCACATTTCAGTTTCAGTTATCCTGTGTTACAGTTGCCATGTATCAGATTTCAGTTTCAGGTGTCATGTGTTACAGTTGTCCCGTGTTACATTTGTCATATATCAGATTTCAGTTTCAGTAGTCCTGTGTTACAGTTGTCATGGATGAGATTTCAGTTTCAGTTATCCTGTGTTTCTGTTCCTATGTATCAGATTTCAGTTTAAGTTGTCCTGTGTTACAGTTATCATGTATCAGATTTCAGTGTCTGTTGTCCAGTGTTACAGTTGTCATGTATTAGATTTCAGTTTCAGTTGTGCCGTGTTACAGTTGTCATGTATCAGATTTCAGTTTCAGTTGTCATGTGTTACAGTTGTCCCGTGTTACAGTTGTCATATATCAGATTTCAGTTTCAGTTGTCCTGTGTTACAGTTGTCCTGTGTTACAGTTGTCATGTATCAGATTTCAGTTTCAGTTGTCATGTGTTACAGTTGTTATGTATCAGATTTCAGTTTCAGTTGTCCTGTGTTACAGTTGTCCTGTGTTACAGTTATCTAAATAAGTAGTTCATCCCTATATCCTCAGGCAATGTTTAGAAGAGGCTGTGACTAGTTGTAACTAATTAGCTTAACTCATTCACCCCTGAAATTTCATAATGAACTATTCCAACCTTTGATTAGGAAGAGTTCAAATGTGTCTTCAGGGGTGAATAAGTTAGAAATATTATCTTATAGCCATTATATCGAGCAGAGGGACTAGGTAGTATATTTATAAATGCACTTTTGTAAAATTTCTTGTACCAATAAACTTATACATTGTGATGCTTACCTCTCTTGAGGCCAGGTGCATGAAGATGTCGAGGAGTTCTACGCCTGCCTCGACAGTGTTCACTGTGTCAAACGCCGATGTTATAATGTTCTGCATCATTACCTCAAGATCCTTGATGCCTGCTCGGAACCTGTTAGCACATAAGTCAGTGAGGTCTAATTACTGGTACAATAAACAAATCTTTATCAATGTCCATACTATTACAGATACATGACGTTACCATTAATGTGAAGATATTACGTTTTTAAATAATCATGCTATTTTTTTTTATTAAAAAAAAAAAAAAAAAATATACATACTTGACGTAGTCATCATGCCATGATGTGGCTTTGACATCTAGAATAGTGTTTTTCACAGAGCGGAGCTGACTGAGATTTTTTTCGAATGTAGCCTCAATCTCGAGTAGACTCCTGGCAATCTCTGGTCCCTTCTGTCCAGCAAAGTGAGGCATGTCTATCTTTTCTCCCTCCTCACGTCGAGCAAAGTGAATCTGAGCCTCACATACCTGGAGAAAACGTCAAAAAACATATACACTACCTTACCATGTTTTGAAAAGGCCCCTTGGTGCAAGACAGGTAAATTTTACCCCGAAGGTTGAGATCTGCCCACCCTGACCCCACAATATGGAAAGTAAATATCCCCTCCCCTAAAAAAGGAATTCTTTTAGTTTAGGATATTGCTTAATACACCAAGTGCCTACTTGAAGAAAACAATTGACATCACCTGATTGTAAAATAGATGCCATTATATTTCACTGTGACATTACAGAATCCTTGCACGATATATCAGTCTAGGGAGGGAGAAGGAACTTGTACACTCCGAATATCAGGGACACTCGTACACCTGGCCCGCAGGGTAATCTCCTGTTCATCATGGAATTTTTAAAAACTTGTTATCAGAAAAAAGTCTCTAAACTAAGGTTCAAATCCATGGGTCTTGTGTTTTTTAGAGATAGCAAGAAGAGCAGAGTCTATATGGAGGACACTTACTTCGGAAGCAATTTAACTCATTCACCCCTGTCACAATGAACTATTCCAAACTTTGAACTGGATGAGTTCAAACGTATCTTCAGGGGTGAATGAGTTAAACAGATTGAGCAAGCTACAAACTTGGGAGTACTTTCTTTACTTACACCAATCAGATCCTTACACCTCTGTACAAAGGCATCAATCTGAGCAAAAATACTGCTCTTATCCAGCACCCATCCGACGGGAGAAAACTTGTGATGTAGTTTGGACATCTGAAACAGATGAATGTACATGAAAAGGAGAAAAAAGCACAGCAATCTTTTATCAACCCAAACAACACCAGAAACAGAAACTCACTGTTCCAGTCTCCATTTTTTTCTGATATGCATAAAATTTTAAAACCAACTGAAATTGAACTCAATGTAATCAGGAAAAGAATATCAAATAATTCAAAAATCATTTACAACAGGACCAAAGTATCGATCCTTCATCCAAGTTGAATTTAACCAGGTATTGTACCATTTCATGCAAATTAAATTAAATTATTTTTCCTCTGTCTCAAGTTCTGGGATATAATGGAAAGAAAGACGATAGGAGATTTAAGATTGACCGTACCTTGTTATATATTTCCTTCCAGCTCTCACAGCATTCAATACACTCATTGAGAGATTTCATCCCTGTCTGTACGTGCCCGTCAAAGATCTTGTCCAGATTTATCTCCTTACAACACCGTCTGATAATCTCATTACTCATCTAAAAATAAAAGCTATGTTTTACAGAGGCATGTTTTACAGAATAGTAGTACATCCCATGATAAAATCTAGCATTTCTATTGGCTGTTTATATGAGTGCTACTTTGTTTAGTCACAGAGCTACACTGACAACAGTTTTGAAGGCTTTCAAAAAGTTTCATAACTTTCTAAAATTCTCAAAAACTAGCAGTAAAAGCCATCGTTTTCAATTTAGTCAGCAAGTAATCTTGATCAGTCAATCAGACCAGACAAATGATACGGCACTTAAAAAGGATGGGGTGATTATTAGGTCAAATACAGTAACAAAAAAAATTAATGTAGAAGAAAAACAACTAACAAAAATAGTTGTAAGTTTTGTGTCTGTAATCAATATTGACCAACTTGAAGTAGGTATGATGGAACGTATTATCTGTCCAATACACCAACAACCAAAACTGTCAACTAAGAAAAATGAAGTTGTTGTCTGTAAAATGGGATTACCCACTGAAATAGATGTGGACCAGAATCTAGTTTTGCAAATTAAAAGCTGACAGAAATAATATGTTCAGATAACATTTATCTGACAGAATTTTCAGAACACATGACATATATATATAGAAACGCATGAACGCTGACCTTCTTGAGTATGCCGGTGAGCCTCTCTCTGGTTTTGTAGAACTCGGAGTTGACCCAGATCATCCTGATGGTGCCAAGAATCTTGGGTAACATAGCAGGAATGTCTTTGGGTTTGGATTCTGACAACTCGAAACACGGATCCTTAAGCACCATCAGGAACTTGAGGTTGCTCTCCGCCTGTCGTGACCCCTCCTGTGTACAAAGAATAGTTACATATTAGAATGACCTGTACACATTACATAAATATATATATATAGAAAAGTCCCAAAACCAGACCATAATACCATTACAGTGATCAATCTGCAATAAGTTTGTATGGGTCTTTTTCCACCGTATTGTTAAAATATATGGGTCCAACCATGTTAAATTTCAGTATTTTCAGAATTTCTATCGGTTTAAATTGAATTTCTATGGGTACAGACTAGGTAGGACCCAGGACTTGCATGTGGATTTATCAATCAATCAATCTAACCCCCAAAACTTTAAAACGTATACTTCATTTACCAACTTAATTATCTTCACACATCTAAGTATATCAATACATGTACAAACATTAAAGAATTTTAATTAACAAGAAACATTATTAATTTGTATTAACTAATGATCCTGAAAAAGCACACACCATCTACACTATAAGGACTATAAACATAACCTCCTTTTCAAATAAAAGTTGAGAGTAAGCACATAAACAAGCTAGGTAAAATGTAGCCTCGACTTCCAAAGTTGAACTTGAAACACAAGTTCAAAACAGGTAAGACTGATGCAATATACATATATATGACAGGTCAAAAGATTTATGTTCAGAAATACTTCGGACAAAATGTAGAATGAGCTTTAAGTTAACCCGTTTTCAACTAGTAAATAATCATTTTACCCACCTTGATTTCTGACGACAGTTTGAGGAACGGTGCAACGTAGGAGGACTTGGCCATCTGAAGAATCTCCGTTATCTTCTTCACTCCTTGTTTGTCCAGCTGGGTACTGATGCCTGTCAGATCTGTACATCTGTTCTTCCAGAACTCAATCTCGTCCAGGGGGCCTGAGTTCTCGGCCATCTCAAAGGCGTCCTGGTTGTTGAGTACCTCCTTAATCTGTCTAGCCCAGTGTATCATGGCCGCTGCACAAGAAACAATCATCACAGGGTTGTTGATTCATCCTAACTTAAATATTTAAAAATCATAAAATATTGATTTAAGCTAAAATATATATTTTGCTGAACAGAGGTGGTTTTCTTGTGAATCTAGAAATGATTGCACACGTTTCATATATTTATTCATTGAAACTGCAATTTATTGATTACTAGAAAACTTGTTCTTAAAATGTTATTTTTCCCTCTTTTGTTCGAAAAAACAACAAAATATCAAATCTCTATCCAACTACCAGCATTTAAAATTTTGGCCCATAAGATCTCAAAGCAAAAACTTGAGGAGGCAAAAATAATAGGTAACAAGAATGGTGAACATGAAAAAAGATGTTGAAGACTCACTCTCCAGCCTCTGGACCAATTCCTTGTTTTTGGCAGCATCCTCGGAGGCAAGTCTGAGACCCTCTGTAGGGATGTACAGAACCGTCTTCCCTTCAAGCTTCCACCGGGTGTCTGTCAGGTTGGCCAGAAATTTGTGTAATTGTGCTGAGAAATCATTCTTTATACCTGACACACAGTTAAGGAGCATGATTCATTCACTGAAAGATTCATACTTTCATTCATTCAAAGTCATAAAGGCTTAAACCATATTTTTATCAATTACCATTTGAAAAGTGCTCTATGTAATTCATGCATAAATAAATTACTCTAAAGCATCTAACAGCCAAGGTATGTCATATGTGAGCAGTTCTATAAACCCTTCACCCCTGAAGACACATTTGAACTCTTCCAATTCAAAGGTTGGAATAGTTCATTATGAAATTTCAAGGAAGAATGAGTTAAAGCATGTTGTACAGTGTTATCCCCTTGAACCCTTTAACACCTCCATAATACAGGGGAAGGTGTGCATGTGTGTGTGGCTGTGTGTGTGTGATTGTGTGTGTGTGGCTGTGTGTGTGTGGCTGTGTGTGTGTGGTTGTGTGTGTGTGGCTGTGTGTGTGTGGCTGTGTGTGTGTTCTAAGAGTTGTATTGGTGTACTGCTTACAACAAAAGTAAAGTGTCTTGCTCAAGGACACAAGCATTCCATGCTGTCTCAGGATCACAGACCTTGCGGTCAATATTCAACATCTATTTCTCCCTGACCAACTTCTACTTCAGTTAAAGGATACTGTCGGGCCATGTTGTGTTCTCAAAAAAGATGGGGGCATAGATTCCCATCATCATCCTCAGCAAACTTTCAATGTGCATGCCCTTCACTGTGCCATACTGTACAACGGTCAAGAAATTGTCTGTGGTCAGTTCCTTGACCTTGCCAGACTTGATGAGGTAGGTGAGCTGATCCACCACGAATGTAGGAATGGCTGGTTCAATGGTGAAGCCTTTGAAGGGGTCAATGTAGGCCACCATAAGTTTGACCGCGGGATCATCAATGAAGGCGTGTACAGCTTCCTCGTGCTGCTCCTTCCACATATCCTCCTTTAAGTTCTGTACCGTGACTCTCTCCTTTATCAGAGAGTACTGATGGAGAAACAAAAATCATGAAATTAGTATTTAGTTATGACATCATAATTTGCTTAACCCTTTCAACACTGTAGACCATAATGGACTCGTCCAGATCAATGCATGGTAGAGTCTACTAAAGTTACATAGGGGTGAAAGGGTTAACAAGTAAAATTGAAGTGAACAAAACTGAACTGAGCAGACTGCCATTAAATATCATTAGTTACACTATTTAGTCTCATAGTTATCTTGTTAGAGTGAGGTATGTATGTTTGCCTCTTGACCCCAACTGACTATTGCGATCCTCCAAATGGCCATTTCAACTCTACTGACCACTGTCTTCTTCAGATTCTAGCCCCTAGCTTCTGACCATTGTACCTCTCTGATCCCTTATTAACATTTCAGTTCTTCTGGCCACTGTCCTCCTCAGATTCCAGCCCTTATTGACCCTTGGACCCTCTAATCCCTTATCGACATATTGCAGATCTGCTGACCACTGTCATACTCTGATCTTAAGCCCACTATTGTGAGCAACTCAGTTGACCACTGTCTTCCTTAGACCCCAACTCCAATTAAGTTTCCCTCTGTTTCCTTATGGACATTCTAAATCTACAGACCATTGTCTTGTCCTGAGCCAAGCCCCAATTTCTATTGAGAATCTTTTGATCGCTAACGACCACTCTACTTGACCATTTTGTCCCTCTCTGACCACTATCACACAATCCTCTGTTCCAGCCCCATTTGACCACTGTGACCCTATTGACCACTGTTATGCATACTGACCACTGTAATTTGATCAACAGCAGCCTCTTCTGCTTCCACTTCACTGTCTCCTACATCAGCAACAACACCAGTTACCTCCCCTTCACCCTGCTGTCCTTCTCCGGGTGGTAATGTACCCTCAGCTGTTGGTTGATAAACAATATGTTTCAAAAGCACAACAACTACAATCAGCGTCCAGGCTATAAATAGTTCAATGTTAACAACACAAAACAATAAATTTTCATTAATGTCATATTTGAATACATTTTATATGCTAAAATTCTAAAACTTTGTTAAGATATTTCAAATTTATTTACTATAGGCTTGGATAGTTACATATCATATAGTTTTTATAGTTAGTTTGAGATCTATCAGCATCTTTTTAAATCATTTTCATTAACACTTTAACTCATTCACCCCTGAAAACACATTTGAACTTGTCAATTTCAAAGGTTGGAATAGTTCATCATGAAATTTCAGGGGTGAATGAGTTAAACATTATGAAAATATTTCAACTATAACATGAAGATTTGTTTTTATTTTAATTAATTTTAAAAACTTTTCATATGATGCAACCAATTATATTCATTAAAAAATCACATACTGTAGTAAACAATAATTAACATAATCCTACTTCAGCTTTTTCACATTTTAATATTGGGTTAAATAATAATTGTATTAATTGAAGGTTCTGACTTAATATTTTAATTATGGTCTTTTACAAATATAATAGTGTGATGCCCCAGCCAGCTTATTTTTCAAAATGCTAATTAGGTAAAATTCAATAATGTGCTAAAATTTGAATGTGCTGATTAACAAGAATGTTCACAGAAGAAACTGATTAAGCAGCTAGTGACGATGTACGAAGTTAACATTGACTCACAAGTTCCTGCAGCATTTTCATCTTCAGCTTGGACTAGCGCTATTTCGGTAGGTAGGGGAGTGTTGCTCTTGGATCCCTTGGGGGTCCCAGATTTAGGAGTATTCACTTTGGACCCTCTCTTGGATCCGGGTTTGTTAGGGGTCCCCGTTCGTGATCCCTTTTCTGACATGTTTGATTCTTTATCAGTTCATCAGAATAAGCAATGTTGGGGATCCTCTTTTAATAATTGACTCCTGAAAATGAAGCAGAGGAGAAAAACATGACAAAAGTGTTGGCATGATTGGCTCACCAGTTTTAGCAGAAATTGCTAAATACACAGATTAGAGAAAAATGAAAAATAAATGTGCTTCATGCTGTTTACCAACAATGCTAAAAACTTTACTTTTACCTGGATGGTCAGTTTGTAATTGATTTAATCCTCTACTCTACAACACATTGTCATCATTAAATGGTCATTACATGCCAAGTCTCGATGACCGTCTTTTTAGCACACAAATCTGTTATACTGCTTTGGTCCATAATGATGGTGAAATATTGGGATAAAATGTTTACAAAATTATTCTAATTTTTGTGTTTGTTTTATAAGGATAATGATTTGTAAATTTCCAAATGACAATATTTTTTCTGCAAAGGATACTTACATAAAGTACGAAGCAACTTTGCAGAAAATCATATACAATTATTATACTTAGAAAAGTCTCCAAAACGTACATTTGCCATAATATTTTTTTGTTTCATGCCATTATTAAAACAAGGTAACTAGTTAAATACACCATTTTGTGTTCTTATCCACTGTAATAATACGTATAGCCTGTTGGCAGAGTGGATACAGTACCCACTGTTCAGCAAGATGGGCGGGATTTGACTCTCTTACCAGATATAAATATTTGATTATCATGAGATGATAAAACTTATTTGATAATTGTTATAATTTTTCTGACTTTTTTGGACGATACGTAACGTTACAGCAGTCTTCTTGTTATAAAAATCTCTTTTAGTTCAATGATGGAAATGTAAGAGATTATTTTCAATACAGTATCCATGTGCCTGTGCTTAAATGATAGGAGCCTTAGCATACTGTTGTCTTTTTGTTTAATGGACTTCGTTTGGTTAAAAAAAGGTAACTATAAAATACCTCTGTGTTGCTACCAAAAGTTGCACGGTCATTTTAGAGTCGGTGCTCGATACAAACATTATTGATATAATAACAATTTAAATGTCGATTAGGAAAAGCTGAATGATATCAAAGTGATAGAATACTATATAAAAATCAAATCCTAATGTCAATATGCATCGTAAATAACAATTTTTGGTAGAAAAAGATCTTCAGTTTACCTTGACGACGCGACCTTCTCCTGTTGAACTAACTTCTCGTAAAATCTCGGTCCATTCGTTCGTTTGGTATTTTTTCATCATTGCTGAAGATACACTAGAGAAGTTCCGAATATATCAAATCACGTGACATTGCAGTGTTCAAAATGGCTGACGCCGATGTTGATGTGGTGGTGATAGGGGCAGGGCTGAGTGGTTTGTCATTTACTTAATAATTTCTCTCATTATTCCATGTTAAGGTTGTAGCTGATATATGTAGTACACACTTAGATTTATATAAAAGAAAGCACACCATATGACCAGAATGATATATTGTTTTCGATCCAACACGTGCTTTTACTGTGGCCTAATTTGTATATTTCTACTTTCACTTTTGAAGAATAAGTAATTCTATAACTGATAAGTGCATTCCTGACGATATCTTTGTTAATTACGCTTTTTCAACTATTAGAATTGATTGTAGGTCTTGGAACAGGAAGTGAAGCCTGAAGGGCAAATCTATTTTCATCCGTAAAACAGGTGCACAAGTCCATTCCGTTTCATTTTTTTATTGCGAATAGGCATACCACTCTGTTTGACAAAAAAAATGATTTTACAAAAGTTACAAATCATCTAATTTGTGATTTATAGGTAACTGAAATGTGTCCATAACATCTTGGATCCATTTCCTCAGGGCCACATGTCAGTGTATTGAAAATATGGTGTTGGATCATGATTTTCCCCTTTAATGAAAGGAGTGTGTTCACAGTTTGGTAATCAATTAAGAATCGAGACTCTAGAGTTTGGAGGGTCCTGGGTTCGAATGCCAGTCTGGTCGTGCATTAAATATCCTTCTATTACAAAATTGCAAAATGTTTGAGCTTGCCCTTGTTTTAAGCGCAGGGTGAATGCTTAGCAAGGGAATACTCTAACATGGGTTGTAGATAGACGTGTCTTCGGGCTCAAAGACTTATAAAAGGGGGGGGGGGGGGAGTGTAATGGAACTGGACTGGGTCAATAGTCATCGACCAGGTAGCTCAATTGGTTGACCGTCCGTCTAGAGTTTAGAGGGTCCCGGGTTCAAATCCTGGTCTTGCCATTGCATTTTTCTTTCTCCTGTTACATGATCTTAAGTCAGTCCAGCTGAACAACAGAGCTTATCATTCAAAAAGAAGTACAGTTTAACCCAAATTAGTTTTATGTGTATATAACACCAACTCACTTTTAAAATGGAATACCTTGTAAATTTATGAAACTGTTATTCTTGTGACTGTTAGGGATCAAATATTCCTTATGAGAAATGTAACCATAGATATGCTACTTTTATGTGAGGTCTACTACACTTTATTATCAAAGCTATCATCTTGTGTTTATATTAAAAATTGTAGTTTATAAAAACTGTTAAAATGTAAGATGATACTGTGTTTCCACAAAACAATCCTAAATTAATTTGCTGAGAAATATTTTTTTAATCATACAATAATAGTTAAATCATGATTCATATAGAGAATATATATTCCATTTAACATCTTTCCTATTTATGAAAACTTTTAAATTGTTAAACTGATTTCATCTTCCAAATTTAAAAATGCACATATAGTGCCCTCTATTGCATAAGGAAATACATGTGTACTGTTCAACATGAGTCAGTTTGAAAAAATGACTGCAACAAGACAATTTAAGTAAGACATATTTGCATAATACTGTATAGGACATTTAACATTATAGCAAGCAGCATGTGACTTTATTTTTTTAAATGCAGTAAATTCTGTTGACATTTATTCTGGAATCCTTGGAAATGAGCAATAAAATGATACATGAACCCTTTGTTAATCAGTCTTTGGTACAATTAGATCAACCAATTATATACAGTCATCATATTTAGAGATTTTGAAAACTCAACCATTAAATTTCACAGTAAATAGGTAATAGCATTTTCACTAGTCTTGACATGAAAATTACTACATGTAGTCTTGAGCGTCAGACTAGTGGAATTGGAACACAAGATTTATCCTAAAACTAGCCAATTTTCATCCTGAAAATCTCTGAGCTTGTGATATTAAATCCTAATTGTAGTATTAATAGGATGAATAAATAAATACAAACTTTGTTTAAACCAGGACTTTATGCTGCCAAGATTCTTGAAGAAAATGGACTGACAGTGAGTGTGGTTGAGGCGAGAGAACGAGTCGGAGGACGGACATGTACGGTCAGGGTAAGTCAGTTATTGTGTAATATTGTCAGAGCATGTTCTGCAGTTAAAGATCTATTTCATATAGAAAAAAATGTGACCTGGTCATTTTTTGAGAAAGAGACTTGACATAAGTTTCCCCAGGTCACTTTATAGCTAGCCTTTTTGGTGAAAAAAGGCTGATATATATAGTCACCAATGTTGGTGTTACCAGGAAAAAGTTTTGGTGCAAGTATTAAAACTCATTAATATGATCTGAAGTATTTGATCTAAGTATTTGATCTAGGATGCTGATATTTAGCATTGATGCAGTCACACAGAAAAAAATCAAGTTATTGACTTTCAAGATAAAACATTTTTGATGGTAAATGTTGAACTTTACTATTTTCTCAAATATTTTTCATATATTATTCATATAGTCAAGATATGCTGTTTTTCAACAGCTCTTGTAGTCAAGGTAGTTTCTTGAAAGTGGACATCACTTGATGATTTATAGTAAAGGAAGGTTGACACAGTATTGTCTAATAATGGGTCAATTTCTACAACATTTGGTAATCTTTTATTGCCTTTTTTCTGAAATAAATAGAAGAATCATATATGTATCATCCAAATTATATAATATGTGAATAATCCAAAATAATGCATTTTCTGAGTTAACCTGTTTAGATTGTGTTTTTATCCTGAGGACATGGTTGATTACAGGGAAGCAGCAACGGTTATACAGACGTGGGTGCTGGCTACATCGGCCCGACACAAGACATCGTCAAAAACCTTGCTACGGAGCTAGGACTGGAGCTCTGTGACGTGTACAATGAGGGAAACGTAGTCATGAATTATAAGGTATCAACGTCTATAAGGCCACTTTACAGCTTTTGTGTGGTTGCTTCTAACTCTATTTTAGGGTTGGTATGATACTTTCTAGGAGTATTGTACAAAATAAACCCATTTTTACTGTAGTTCAAGACTTATCTGAATAAATTTGTTATTTGAACACAAAGCAGACACTTTGATACTTATTCCATAAGTTACTTAAGGACAGACATTTTGCTCTCAAGTGCAAATCTTTTGCAACTAAACATGAAAAATGCAATATTTAATGCAAGGTGGAAAAAACGCTATAAGTGCTAAGGATTGACATGAAGGGAAAAACATAATTGTTTCACACAGTCACCAATAATTATCTTACTATAATAATTTAACCTTTTTTTAAAACTTGCAATATTCGAGTGTTTGTCCATTTTCATTGAGACTGAAAGTTGAGTCTCTGTGTCTAGTTCCCAGAAAGTTACATAAATATTTTATACAATGAAGCAATTATCCTTGTGTGAGCTATCCCTAACTGGAGTGAGTGCAATAGCAGATTAGTTAAATAACCTACTAGCTGACTGAACCATGCAAACCCCTCAAACAGCAGTAACTATTTCCCTTGATGTGCATTGGTTGAACTATTGGCTTAACTGCCAGTTCGGAAAATAATTTATTTGCTGTTGTCAATTTTTGCACATTTTTTATGGTTGTATTTATTAAACTGAAATACAATTTTCTGTTTGTTACTTAGGTCTTGTAGAAACAGTTAGACCACTAAATATTCTGTAAAACTACGATAGGTGTGTATATTAAAGGACTTCACAGCATCAGATTCAGGAGAAAATGTATATTGAAATTCCTTGAAATATATATATTTTTAGAGTATTTGGGCAACTTTTCATGGAATTATCCCCCCATACTGGAATCCATTCAAGTTACTGGATCTGAACAACATTATACGGACAGTAGATGCCATGGCTAAACAGGTAAGAATAATTTATTTATTTACTGCATATTATATATGAAGCGTCCTTTCAATGACATTGGCGGAATAGCCCTATTTAAATAAAATTGGCGCCAATAATTAACCGTAGTCATTTGAGCGTTTGACGCATTCTCTGTGTTATCCGAAGCATAGCGACAAGACTCATTGAACAAGGTCAGTCTATGACGTCATAAGTAAACTACATGTTGCTTTTATACTTAAATGAAATGCATTTCTGCTGGTAATACATAATGTATTCATATTGCGGGTTGCAGTGCAAATGTAAATATAGGTAAAAAATTGGAGGTAAATACTGCCTGATAGAACAGGTGTAAATTAATATTATATGCTACTTAAGATTGTACATGTATATGTGATTTTGTGTAAGAGTTATCTTTAGTTTAAATTCTTTTAATCAGCATTAAGAATATTCTCAGTTTATCAAACATTTTTCTGACAGTATCTTTGGAATGTGTCATCATCAGTTTTGGTGTACCTTTCAAATGCATCATCAGTTTTGGTGTACCTTTCAAATGCATCATCAGTTTTGGTGTACCTTTCAAATTCATCATCAGTTTTGGTGTACCCTTCAAATGTGCCATCAGTGAATTAACCACAGTTATTTTTTTTACGGAAATTTTTACGGATTTTTTTTACGGAAACTCAGCTGTTACAGTGAAAAATTATCATTCCACGAAAATTAATTAACTTAAACTATACTAGTCCATAAATTATAGTTCTGTATACACATGTAATACATTTCACTTAATACAGTAATCTTTGAAAAAGGAGTATATTTTAACAGAAATTAAATGAATTGTGTTTATTTGATAAACAATTAAACAATATATGCTTTGAGTAGCAATATTGAACATTTTGCACTGGTCTGCTGTCAGGCTAGACACAAATTTCACTAGACAGACTCTGGGATTTTTCTTGTCCTGTATCTTATTATGCAGGCATTTTGTCTCACCTGCATGAGAAGAACTAATTGAGAAAACTACAGGTATTCCACGTTTGATTATGTATGACACCAGCCTCATAATTCTATCTTGTAGGTGCCGCGGAACGCCCCGTGGATGGCACAAAAGGCTGCTGAATGGGACAGAATGACGGTGAAGGAGTTCATTGACAGGACTTGCTGGACGAAGTAAATATTGAATTAATACTGCACTACAGCTAGCAGTTAACTACCACAGAGCTGTTCCCCTCGTGATACGTTAACTTTTGGTTTACGACTACATTTACACGATTTTAGTGCTTTGTAATTAACATTCTGAACGTTATCGATATTGTGATTGCAGTTATACAATATATAAATACAGTATGTATATTGGTCATTATGGGTTTTCTCTAAAATTACTACAGATGATATCTCAACCTGATAGTATACTTAAGATAGTGGAGATATTGACATTTACTATGTACTATGTACATGTCCTATAAAATCCTGAATACCTGCTTTATACCTGAGTAATGCTTTGATTAAAAAGTAAGTGATTTGCATGGAAGGGTAAAAGGAAAATTGACTTGTTTTAAGAGTTGTATATTGGTAATTTTAGAAGTACAGATACAACTGTCCATCAGCTTTCTGATTGGTCAGGTTTTGATGTCTGGAACCAATCAAATAGCTTCCATATAACAAGAGTGTTGATTTTGAAGATTGGTTTATCTGGACAGAAGTTTTCCAGTGTACAGTGGAGTATTGATACATCACTAACAAGTGAACTGATTTTCAGTGCTGCCAGAGACATACTGGTGTTTGTTCGGTCCGTGCTGACGTCCGAACCTCACGAGGTCTCTTTCCTCTTCTTCCTCTGGTTCATTCATTCTGGAGGAGGATTGATGCGACTAGCATCGGTCAAAGACGGAGCACAGGTAATTATCGAACCTTACCCAGTATAAAACAGTGTAGATCAACAAATAAAATTAAAGAATATCTTTATATGGTTTGGGGCTGCATATGAAAGAACAAGAAACTAAGCATTTTGTCTTCAAAATCAATAGAAATTATTCTATAAAATTATATGAATTCAACATAGGTTTTAACATTGAGAGACAGTAACACTCCTGTATACAGTATGTATAACCCTATATAAAGAATACCTGTGTAGGGTAAGATGTATAACCCTATATAAAGTATACCTGTGTAGGGTAAGATGTATAACCCTATATACATATAACCCTGTATACAATGTATTGATATTACCCTGTATACAGTATACACCATATACATATAACCAACCCTGTATACACTATATACATATAACCCTGTATACACTATATACATATATCCCTGTATATAGTGTAAACAGGGTTATATGTATATAGTGTAAACAGGGGTATATGGATATAGTGTATACAGGGTTATATATATATAGTGTATACAGGGTTATATGTAGATAGTGTATACATGATTATATGTATATAGTGTATACAGGGTTATATGTATATAGTGTATACACTATATACATATAACCCTGTATACACTATATACACATAACCCTGTATACACTATATACACATAACCCTGTATACACTATTTACACATAACCCTGTATGCACTATATACACATAACCCTGTATACACTATATCCACATAACCCTGTATACACTATTTACACATAACCCTGTATGCACTATATACACATAACCCCGTATACACTATATACATATAACCCCGTATACACTATATATATATAACCCTGTATGCACTATATACACATAACCCTCTATACACTATATACATATAACCCTGTATACACTATATTTATATAACCCTGTATACATTATATACATATAACCCCGTACACACTATATACATATAACCCTGTATACATTATATACATATAACCCCGTATACACTTTATACATATAATCCTGTATATACTTTATACATATAACCCTGTATATACTTTATACATATAATCTTGTATACACTATATACATATAACCCTGTATACACTATATTTATATAACCCTGTATACATTATATACATATAACCCCGTACACACTATATACATATAACCCTGTATACATTATATACATATAACCCTGTATACACTATATATATATAAACCTGTATACACTATATACATATAATCTGTATACACTATATACATATAATCCTGTATACACTATATACATATAATCCTGTATACACTATATACATATAATCCTGTATACACTATATACATATAATCCTGTATACACTATATACATATAACCCTGTATACACTATATTTATATAACCCTGTATACATTATATACATATAACCCCTTATACACTTTATACATATAATCCTGTATATACTTTATACATATAACCCTGTATATACTTTATACATATAATCTTGTATACACTATATACATCTAACCCTGTATACACTATATATATATAACCCTGTATACACTATATACATATAACCCTGTATACATTATATACATATAACCCCGTATACACTTTATACATATAATCCTGTATATACTTTATACATATAACCCTGTATATACTTTATACATATAATCTTGTATACACTATATACATATAACCCTGTATACACTATATACATGTAACCCTGTATACACTATATACATATAAGCCTGTATACACTATATACATATAACACTGTATACACTATATACATATAATCATGTATACACTATATCCATATAACCCTGTATACACTATATTTATATAAGCCTGTATACACTATATACATATAACACTGTATACACTATATACATATAATCCGGTATACACTATATACATATAACACTGTATACACTATATACATATAATCCGGTATACACTATATACATATAATCCTGTATACACTATTTACATATAACCCTGTATACACTATATACAGATAACTCTGTATACACGATATACATATAACCCTGTATACACTGTATATATATAACACTGTATATACTATATTCATATAACCAACCCTGTATACACTATTTACATATAACCCTGTATACACTATATCCATATAATCCGGTATACACTATATACATATAATCCTGTATACAATATATACATATAATCCTGTATACACTATAAACATATAACCCTGTATACACTATATCCATATAATCCGGTATACACTATATACATATAACCCTTTATACACTATATACATATAATCTTGTATACACTATATACATCTAACCCTGTATACACTATATATATATAACCCTGTATACACTATATTCATATAACCAACCCTGTATACACTATATACATATAACCCTGTATAGCTTATATACATATAACCCTGTATACTCTGCACCTAACCATGTACAATTATTTATGCACTTTATATAACCATATAAACCTGTTACAGTATATATAACCATATATACAGTGTATATAAACATGTATACAGTATGGTTTCTGTATTTCAGGAGCAAAAAGTTGTTGGTGGGACACAACAGCTGTCTGAGGGTATGGTTAAAAACCTAAAAGGCACTGTCCATCTGTCCAGTCCAGTGGTCAGTGTGGACCAAACCAGGGACAAAGTACTGGTCAAGGATTCCAATGGACACCAATACCAGGTAAAAAAATCAAAGACATTAGTTTGAATTCAGCCGAGTTTTTGTAAATTTTCTATTTTCTAGTGATACATGTGCACAGAAAATTTCTTTAACAGAAAATTATTGAATTAAATAAAACTTACTTTAAAACAATGGTAAAACAAGTTTTAATTTTATTAGTTCACCTGGTTCAAAAGACAACTTGTGAGCGCCTGCCGTCCGCTTACTTGCCAATATTTTGAAATTTTCATGGGGGAGATTCTGCATGCTCAAAATTAAAAGCATAAATAAAACGTGTATATATACCCCCTAGAGACAAAATAGTCGTTTAAAATGAGATATTTTAAGTTGTTTTTTCGGATGAAATCTTCATATCTTTAATTATAGGAGCAGTTAAGCAAATTCACTGGTTGGTGAATGCTAAATGTAAGGGCCCAAAATCGGGAGTCTCCCTCTCCCTCTATCCATCAGCAATGTCTTCAAACAACTTCTTTATAAGCACTGATTAGAATTTATACAACCACATAGGAAATAGGAAGCATTCCTAAGTGGTGTGGATTCAATTGTGTACAAATGGAGGGGCTAACCCCACCTGGTGACTGTCTGAGGGCGGGGCTAAAAAGGGCAATTAGGTCCTATTGCAATAAGTGTTGTCTTCTCTGGAACTAAGAGATGGTTATCGATCATGTTTGGTTGGAAGTGTTATCATTTGGTGGGGCTTCAACTTTTAACAGTTGAAGGGCTGACCCCAGGGCTGACCCCAGGGCTGACCCCAGGGCTGAGGGTTGGGGTCAAAAAGTTTTTAGCTTGGAAATTATGAAGATCCTCAGCTTGTAACCATGAATACACATATTCTACCAGAATGGCCTTGGGGTCTGCCCTAACCCATGGAGACCAAGTCGCTGGGTCATAGCTTTTAAATGGTCAAGATCCCCATCCCATAACCATTTATGTAATTGCTGAGTATAAAGAGACAAGCATAAATGATATTAGAATTGACTCTTGGGTCTGGTCACGCCCCCAGGGACTTAGTTCCTGGGTCTTAACTTTGAAATCGTTGAGATACAATTGCTTGGCATAAAGAGATGAATACAGACATGGTATTAGAATTGACCCTGGGGTCTGGCCACATCCTTAGGTGGTGAGCGTTAAGATTTGGATACACATATGCTGCCAGGATTGGCCTATCCATAGGATATTATTTGCCATACTACTTTTATTGAGAATCTTCTGCCATGATAGCTTAACTCATTCACCCCTGGATTTTTATAATGAACAGGTCCAACCTTCGACTTGGAAGAGTTCAAATGTATCTTCAGGAGTAAATGAGTTAAATATCCCGGTGAGAGTTACAGGCCCTCTGTAAGACCTCAGGTGGAGGACAATTCCTATAGAAGTTACATTGTGTTGTAAGTCTGACATGATAGTTTTCTTGTTTTTGTTGTAGGGGAAATATGTGGTGAGCACGGTTCCTCAAGCGTTACTGAATAGAATCAGTTTCTGCCCATCTCTTCCTGATCTCAAGTTACAACTTATACAGAGGATGCCCATGGGCTCCATCATCAAGACATTCATGTTCTACGACACACCGTTCTGGCGGGAAAAAAGTAGGTCACTCATGTCACCTGTTAGCTATAACCACTTAAATCACTTATATTTTTGTCTATTAACAATGTTATAACATAGTAATTGCTTTGTCAGTGTGCGTTTGTGTGTGCGTCAGTGTGCGTTTGTTTGTGCGTCAGTGTGCGTTTGTGTGGGGGTCAGTGTGCGTTTGTGTGGGCGTCAGTGTGCGTTTGTGTGGGCGCCAGTGTGCGTTTGTGTGTGCATCACTATGCGTTTGTGTGTGTGTTTGTGTGTGCGTCAGTGTGCGTTTGTGTGTGCATCACTGTGCGTTTGTGTGGGCGTCAGTGTGCGTTTGTGTGGGCGTCAGTGTGCGAGTCCATTTGTGCACCTGTCTGTCCATAGTGAAAGCTTGTGTACAAGATCTCAATAACTCCTGAACACATATAGTTCATATTTAAACTATAGTATTGTAATATCAAGTTCTACACTCAGTTAGTCTTTTCAAGGTTAAAGGGTCAAAGGAAGTAAAAATGATTGTGTACAAAATATCTCAAGAATCCCTCGACAAATTAAGTTCACGTTAACACCATAGTATGGTAACATTCAGTTCTACAACTAATTAGATTTTGGTGGTCATTGGTCCAGGCTAAAGGGTCAAAGGTCATATATTCATGTTTTTATTTACTTTAAGTTGGCTATAATAATGTTACATTCTGTCTTCCCAGAGTTTAGCGGAAGCATTACCTCAGATTTCGGCCCTGTGACGTATTGTCTCGATGACACCAAACCTGACGGATCCCACCCTTGCATTATGGGATTTGTGCTGGCAGACCAAGCTCGTAACCTCGTAGAAATGTCAGTGACGGAAAGGTAATGATTCTAGAGTCATCTGGTTCAATGGTAGGGCACTTGATCAGACATGTTTTGGCCCATATTCTTGAAAAAATTCTTGTGTCTAATTGTTAATTCTGTATTCAGCTTTCATGTAACTTGTATGACAAAAAGTTAAGTCTAGACATGGAAAATGCCATACAGCTTCAGAAGGCTTTAAATGAAATTACTCATTTATAAAATAATGATAGAGATATTGTTTAGAAAATGCTATTAATTCAGAATAAATGCCTTTACTTTTATTTCAAAGAAGGTAGGTGAATAAAGCGTGAGATTACCTTCCCTTCTCGGCTAGTAAGACATATTTGTTTATAAAATAAAACACGTTTGCACATGGTAAGTAGTTCGAAGTTCATCGACAGCTGCCACTGAAATGTATAATTGTTCAGTTAAGTATTTCTTCAGTGTTGATTAACTAATTCACCCCTGAAATTTCACAATGAACTATTCCAACCTTTGAATTGGATGAGTTCAAATGCGTCTTCAGGGGTGAATGAGTTAGATTGCCAAGAAACATTGTCTCTTGTCAATTTCTCGGTATGAATCGTTCGTAAAGGAGTATCAAACTATATTATATCATAATAAAGAATTTTGTGACAAAACTTTCTTCACTTAATTGTCTCTTCTAAAGAGACCTACCAGAAGCAGTATGCCTAAAACAGTATTTCATTGTAAGTCCAAAAGGGGGGGAAAAAAGATGTGAAAAATGCTACGAATTTAATAGATGTTTTTGTGCTTGTATTACAGAAAAACTACTTTATGTCAGTATTACGCAAAAGCATTCAAAATGGACAGGTTCATGCAGGTAATTATCATCAGCTTATTCCTTTACTTTGATTGTTTATGCATTCATGTGCATTAAGCTTCTTTGGCAAGAAAAGGACAAATAAGCACGGGAATTCAAGCGTAAATAAAAGAAACATTTTTCTTGGAAACCTCTTCAGATTTAAGTGAAAATGTCCATATTAACAGTATGCACATGAATACATGTAAAATCAGATTTGGAATTGAATGAATAATTCATAGTATTCACATTAGGAATAGGTCAACAATCTTTTGTGATCCCTGATCTCTCACTTATTGTTGTCGCTGAATTTGAATGTATTGCCTCATACTTTTAAACAAATATCTCATATTGATAGCAGCATAAACAAAAAAAGGCATTCATATGAACAAGTGCTTATTTATTCAAATTCAGTAACCATATTCAATAGAATCTGTTTTTCCACAAGGAAATTAGTCCTGCATCCAAACATTTGAACAGTTAGGTTTCCTATTAAAAAACAACAACATTTTCTTTCTCTACATACAGCCCACAGATTACATTGAGAAGAACTGGATGGAGGATGAGTTCTCTGGGGGCTGTTATTTAGGAGTGATGCCCCCGGGAGTACTTACTAAATATGGAAGGTAAGATGTGTCAGGGTCTCCGAGGGGGAACTTACCTAATATCGAAGGTGGTCTTTGTCAGTCCCTTTGAGAGCTTAACAAGTACGGAAGGTAGATGATGATGTCCCTGGGGGGAGGTATATTTGATTTCATGTTCTTTGGGGGGTGGGGGGGGGGGGGGTTTNGGGGGGGGGGGGGATTATGTCGGTGCCATGGGATAAATGATGTGGTGTACTTGGGGTTAAATGATGTGGTGTACCTGGGGGTAACTCCAACACACAGACAGGCATACACACATAGGGAGATATTAGCCAGGTGGCATAGGACTAGTAGTTAGCACCTGATAAGGCAGCTCCTGGGAATTCCTCAATATTGTATTGATTAATGTGTATGCTAATTGTATTGATTGTATAAAATTGTATATCTATGTACTGTAAAGCGCTTTAGAGTGGCTTATGTTAGCTAGATAGGGCGCTATATCAAATCTTGTATATTTATTTATTGATTTATTATGTCATGTTCCTGGGGATAAATGATGTCGTGTTCCTGGGGGTAAATGATGGTGTGTCCCTGGGGGTAAATGATGTTGTGTCCCTGGGGGTAGATGATGTCGTGTTCCTGGGGGTAAATGATGTCGTGTCCCTGGGGGTAAATGATGTCGTGTCCCCGGGGGTAAATGATGTCGTGTCCCTGGGGGTAAATGATGTCGAGTCATTCGGGTTACTCATCTAATATGGCAGGTTTGTTATGTCACACCAAAGTATTAAACAAGTACAGGGCTGCTTCCACTTATGGCGATCCAAATGGTTCACAGAGTTGTTCGTTTATGCAATAAGGTCGGACCTAGTAATCTGATGATGTTTACAGTCAAGCCTTGACATAGCCTTGCAAGGCCTGCTTAAACATTTGTAGGTCCGTAAGGATTTATACTCAAAACCAAAACCGGTGACCGCATAAAGAAACAGGTCCCGTCGTATCACGTCAAACATCAGACACTGAAACTAATTTCACATGGTGACAGGGGTGTTCATGTTTTACAGACATTTTCTAGTCATCAAAGAAATCAGTAATATGTGTTTTTTATGTATTTTGTACCAGTGTGTGTGTATTGTATTTCATGGTATTTAATATTAATGTATTGTATTTCCTGGTATTTAATATTACTGTATTGTATTTCATGGTATTTTAGATTACCATATTGTATTTCATGGTATTTCAGAATACTGTATTTATTTCATAGTATTTAAGATTACTGTATTATATATCATGGTATTTCAGAATACTGTATTGTTTATCATGGTATTTCAGATTACTGTATTGTAATTCATGGTATTTCAGATTACTGTATTGTAATTCATGGTATTTCAGAATGCTGAGGAAACCAATAGGTCGTGTCCATTTTGCTGGGACAGAAACAGCTACCGAATGGATTGGATACATGGATGGAGCTCTCCAATCAGGAGACCGGGCAGCACACGAGGTAGGTCAAAGTTCAGTAGGGGTTAAAAGTAGTAGATATATATATTGGTTTTCTTTATCCATCAGGGTTTATTGTAGAAACATTTAGCATACCAAGATACTCGATTCATCCTTTTAGTAAAAATATTGTGATATATGTTTGAATTCCAAATCCACTCCCCCACAACTTGATGTAAATATATATATTATTGTCTTTAAGAAACAGCTACTTACATAGGTTCAAGCTTATTTCAAAACTGTTCTTCATTGTTTTGACTTTTATCTTTTGAATTTGGATTTCATTAATGGTATTTTTGGAAAGTGCAGAATCTCTTGGATACTGAGAAAATAACCATTATGCTTTATAACTTTCAAATAGTGAAATTATGCTAAAAATCTGTGGTAACCCACCCACTCACAAAATAATCATTCAAAACATACAATATATTTTACTCAACTTTGACCATCGGATGTAAAACCAGAACAGGGTATGCAGTGTTTTATGTAAAATTTCTTTCCAAAAATACCAGAATTTTTCTTTTAAAGAAATGTGAAGTATTACCACAACTTGTTGGTGCTAATTGATTTAATTCGTAACTTTGTGTCTTTGCTCCAGATTTTTAACCTTTGTGACTCTAATACTTAGTATGTATAGCTTTGGATCACCACGCTGCTATAACGCTTTTACAGTATTTGTCTTAGTAAGCACCCAGATCCTGATAAGTACCCCAGTTTATGGCTCTGTTTTGGATTTTGGAAAGTTCTGCCAGCAGTCTGAATTTAATTCAAATTGCTGTATCCTGGGTGCTTATTAAATCAGATGTGGAATGTTTTCTCCGTGTTCTTAATTAGTTTATAACCCAAATATAATAACATTGAAGTTCTTTTTATTATTTCTTGTGTTGTACTCAAAGTGCTTAGAATAGGGAACTTGTTTTGTGCTGTACTGATAGGGCTTAGAAAAGGGAGCTTGTTGTATGCTGTACTGATAGGGCTAAGAAAGGGGAGCTTGTTGTGTGCTGTACTGAAAGGGCTTAAAAAAGGGAACTTGTTTTGTGTTGTACTGATAGTGCTTAGAAAAGGGAACTTGGTTTGTGCTGTACTGATAGGGCTTAGAAATGGGAACTTGTTTTGTGCTGTACTGATAATGCTTAGAAAAGGGAACTTGTTTTGTGCTGTACTGATAGTGCTTAGACAAGGGACCTTGTTTTGTTCTGTACTGATAGTGCTTAAAAAAGGGAACTTGTTTTGTGCTGTACTTATAGGGCTTAGAAAGGGGAGCTTGTTGTATGCTGTACTGATAGGGCTAAGAAAGGGGCGCTTGTTGTGTGCTGTACTGATAGGGCTTAGAAAAGGGAACTTGCTTTGTGCTGTACTGATAGGGCTTAGAATAGGGAACTTGTTGTGTGCTGTACTGATAGGGCTTAGAAAAGGGAACTTGTTTTGTGCTGTACTGGTAGTGCTTAGAAAAGGGAACTTGTTTTTTGCTGTACTGATAGGGCTTAGAAAAGGAAACTTGTTTTGTGCTGTACTGATAGGGCTTAGAAAGGGGAGCTTGTTGTGTGCTGTACTGATAGGGCTTAGAAAGGGGAGCTTGTTGTATGCTGTACTGATAGGGCTAAGAAAGGGGAGCTTGTTGTGTGCTGTACTGATAGGGCTTAAAAAAGGGAACTTTTTTTGTGCTGTACTGATAATGCTTAGAAAAGGGAACTTGTTTTGTGCTGTACTGATAGTGCTTAGACAAGGGAACTTGTTTTGTTCTGTACTGATAGTGCTTAAAAAAGGGAACTTGTTTTGTGCTGTACTGATAATGCTTAGAAAAGGGAACTTGTTTTGTGCTGTACTGATAGTGCTTAGAAAAGGGACTTGTTTTGGGTAATTGACATAGATGGGCAACCTTTTTTGGAAAAGATCTTTTTTTCTTGTGTAAATCGTAAATTTTATTCATTCTCTCGGTACATTTAACACATCCAAATATTTCTTTTCACGTAACACAGTTCACGTGAAATTGTGTGGTATTTTTTCATTGTGTCACCGTGGTTCGCAAACACAACAGTGTCAATTTCAGTTCTTTTGAATATTTATCTCAGGATAAAAGAAACCTAAACAGACAAGCCACACATCCTTACTACAACATACTTTTCTTAAACAGACATTACTCTTGCAGTCGATCACGCGAAAGATACACACGGCCTTGCTCAAACCATTGTTAACTTACCAGGCTTCTGTGGCGAACATCTACAGTAGACCTTTGCAGGTTCTGCTTAATCATATCTATTAACCGCTCGCGCGCTCATCTAACGATAGAGTGAGCAAGAAGTAGATAGTGGAAGAGCAAATAAAGAGAAAGCCTGAAGGAAGTGACGTAGATAGGTATGATAAGAATTCAGGCATACAAAGCAGGTGTTATGTGCTCAGGTGTGCTCATATCAAAGTCACGTCCGACTAGTTTCGTCAAATTCCACAGAACATGTGTACATTTACACTAGACAGAGTTACGTATACAACAGGTCACACAGGTACATGTACAACAGGTCACACAGGTACATGTACAACAGGTCACACAGGTACATGTACAACAGGTCACACAGGTACATGTACAACAGGTCACACAGGTACATGTACAACAGGTCACACAGGTACATGTACAACAGGTCACACAGGTACATGTACAACAGGTCACACAGGTACATGTACAACAGGTCACACAGGTACATGTACAACAGGTCACACAGGTACATGTACAACAGGTCACACAGGTACATGTACAACAGGTCACACAGGTACATGTACAACAGGTCACACAGGTACATGTACAACAGGTCACACAGGTACATGTACAACAGGTCACACAGGTACATGTACAACAGGTCACACAGGTACATGTACAACAGGTCACACAGGTACATGTACAACAGGTCACACAGGTACATGTACAACAGGTCACACAGGTACATGTACAACAGGTCACACAGGTACATGTACAACAGGTCACACAGGTACATGTACAACAGGTCACACAGGTACATGTACAACAGGTCACACAGGTACATGTACAACAGGTCACACAGGTACATGTACAACAGGTCACACAGGTACATGTACAACAGGTCACACAGGTACATGTACAACAGGTCACACAGGTACATGTACAACAGGTCACACAGGTACATGTACAACAGGTCACACAGGTACATGTACAACAGGTCACACAGGTACATGTACAACAGGTCATATAGGTACATGTACAACAGAACAAACCCAAGTACTAAAATATATAACATAGGTTACAATTGTTTTGTCATCAATTTCATCATTGTCTTCAACAGTGTTTAGTATATGTTATTGGTGGTTACAAAAACCTCACACACGAATTAATGGCACATCTCTCACAGTACCGCTATATGCATCTGCCAACAACAGAAATTTGTTTTTGAAATTTTGTTTATTTTTGTCAAAAAGACATTTATGGTTATTAACTTATTAATTAAACTTAACCTGAGATGAACTAACATTTCGTAAACAAGATTTTTATTGGCCTTTATAGTTAATGTTGATTTTTGAAGAAATAAGTACATGTAGTAGCACCCTTTAAATGGTCAGATGTCCTAAATCACCAAATATGGTATTATGTTGAATTCTCTAAGACCTGTTGTAATCAGTTTACCTTACATTTGTTGTGTTATTTTGCATGTTTGTTTTATTGTTTCAAAACTCACTTTGTAGTTTAAAATAATTGAAATGTCTTCATTTCCTTGACTATAAATTGTTTTTTAACCCAAGCATGAAACGTTGTTATCCTCTTTAGCTTGTTTTTATCGTCAGAAAACAGGTAGTCAGCCATGAATCAATCTAGGCTAAATTCTTTACCATTTAACCCTTTCACCCCTATGTAACTTTAGTAGACTCTACCATGCATTAATATGGATGAGTCCATTATGGTCTACAGTGGTGAAAGGGTTAAGGGTAAATTTTTCCTGGAGAAAAAAGAAAAAAAAATATATAATTTCCCAAATCAATGATTCTGAACTTTTTTCCTCTTGTTCATGAGAATGATCAAACTCCAAACCATTATAACATGTTTTAGACAAAATAACTAAACGTTTAAAAGACTCCATACATATAGCATCATTTAACTTCATGTGGTGAAGATTCTATTTAAGAGTATGCAAATTCTCTCTAAATCACAAAAAGTAATAATACCTCGATTTCCTCAGATATATTGGTGCACTAATTTATAACCATGGAAGTATTTTGTGTACAGTGTGCTTTGTTTCAGCAAGCGCATTACATTTACCATGCCCCCTTTTCCTGTCCGTAAAGGGGAGATAATTAGTTTGTTTCACTGGAATTTTTCTTTGTTTTTCTTTTTTCTGTCTTTTTTAATAAGTTTAAAGCTTAACATATAAGATGTCTGTATTGTCAAGTTTATATCACACAAATAAAGCTTTATTCTAGCACCATGCTTTTTTACAAGTAATTTTGAGGGTTGGGTGCTTAAATTAACCATCGCAGTGGCACTACATGGTCCTACCAGAATTCAAATGGCATTCATATCAGCTATGAATGTCATGGTTCACATGTTGATGTGCAAGGTTGTAATCAAAATACCAACTGGAATTTTACAAATTCAACATGAAATTTAGCTTTCATTCAATATTGATCGTGATTAACAATGTAAATCAGTCCCAGCCAGCATCTTCAACAGTGTGTCCTTACAGAGTGGGCCCAGGGGCCGAGGTAGAAAACGTGTGTCCGTACAGAGTGGGCCCAGGGGCCGCGGTAGCAACCGTGTGTCCGTACAGAGTGGGCCCAGGGGCCGAGGCAGAAAATGTGTGTCCGTACAGAGTGGGCCCAGGGGCCGCGGTAGCAACCGTGTGTCCGTACAGAGTGGGCCCAGGGGCCGAGGGAGAAAATGTGTGTCCGTACAGAGGGGGCCCAGGGGCCGAGGTAGAAAATGTGTGTCCGTACAGAGTGGGCCCAAGGGCCGAGGTAGAAAATGTGTGTCCGTACAGAGGGGGCCCAGGGGCCGAGGTAGAAAATGTGTGTCCGTACAGAGTGGGTCCAGGGGCCGAGGTAGAAAATGTGTGTCCGTACAGAGGGGGCCCAGGGGCCGAGGTAGAAAATGTGTGTCCGTACAGAGTGGGTCCAGGGGCCGAGGTAGAAAATGTGTGTCCGTACAGAGGGGGCCCAGGGGCCGAGGTAGAAAATGTGTGTCCGTACAGAGGGGGCCCAGGGGCCGAGGTAGAAAATGTGTGTCCGTACAGAGTGGGTCCAGGGGCCGAGGTAGAAAATGTGTGTCCGTACAGAGTGGGCCCAGGGGCCGAGGTATAAAACGTGTGTCCGTACAGAGTGGGCCCAGGGGCCGCGGTAGCAACCGTGTGTCCGTACAGAGTGGGCCCAGGGGCCGAGGTAGCAAACGTGTGTCCGTACAGAGTGGGCCCAGGGGCCGCGGTAGCAACCGTGTGTCCGTACAGAGTGGGCCCAGGGGCCGAGGTATAAAACGTGTGTCCGTACAGAGTGGGCCCAGGGGCCGAGGCAGAAAATGTGTGTCCGTACAGAGTGGGCCCAGGGGCCGAGGGAGAAAATGTGTGTCCGTACAGAGGGGGCCCAGGGGCCGAGGTAGAAAATGTGTGTCCGTACAGAGTGGGCCCAGGGGCCGAGGTAGAAAATGTGTATCGAAAGAACATCTGACCATGACATCAGTGACTTACCATCAACTCTTGCCTTCATTTAACTATGAGAACTTTCAATTTATGCTCAGTGATTGTTTTGAAGTAAATTATATTTGGAAAGGAATGATAGGAAACAAAATGAAATAAAGTTCAATTCTTTGTTGAATCACACGAATCCAGTTTTGAATATTGAAAATGATATTAGCAAGCCTGCGGAATTGGATATCTCCATGTCTATTCAGGTGCTATGCTGCGTCACATATGTAATGTGAATTGCTGAGCGCTTATCACGCACATTTAATCCAAAGTTTGTGAAAGATACTGATATCATCATAGTAACACTGTAAAAATAGGCACATTTTACAATCCATTCTTCATATCTTTCCCCCCTTCCTTTTTAGGTCAAATAATGTGACCTGGTAGGTATATCTATTCTGTAAAGAAGAAAACTAGAATTGTGTTTTTATACACTTCCATTTACAAGATTGGAACACCACATATCTAAACTTTCAATTACCGTATTAAAACCATTTTATCATATACCCCGTAATTTATATTTTCCAGAAAAAAAACTCAAAGTTTGTTATAGAAACTATGCATGATAAACATATCCATGTAATCTAAGCTAACAATTTCTAAGTGATATTTTTACCCGTTTACCAATTTACTATATCAAACAAATATCATACAAATCGTTCAATGCTAAAACAAATACAGACAATACTTACTGGAGGCAATACTTTTGTAAACAAATCATAGCACATCGATATATCTATATATATTAGCTTCATAAGGTCCTACAAGGAGTGGATAATGAAACGAGAAGTGTTTCAAGTCTGAACAGTGAATTTTATCTTACCCTATATACTATCTGATGATTGAAGATCCGGGCTTTTTTTTTTTTTAACTCATCCTTAAAAAACACCCATGATGAAAACAAAAAAACTTGAAATTTAATCACCATAAAAAATTGTAACACGAGGGATTTCTTTGGAAAATGGTTTACTGCAAAATAAAACTATAAAATATAGATTTGAAGTGAAAGTTAAAAGTCAAGTCAGATTAAAACTTGATATAAAATCATAGCAGTTGAGTAATAATTACATATCTGTTATTTTCAGATCTTGGACAAACTTGCGATCCAGTGGTTAGAATCGGGTAGAGGCAGCTCGGCGATAATCATCCCGTCCCCGTCGCTGTCCGAGATGATCCTGCCGTCGGTGAACGCCATCTTGTACGCGTCTACTGGTGCAGCCGTCAGTTATCTGGCTTATCTCATCTACCCATACTTCTTTGGGTGGCGCTGGAAAGTCACCTCTTACATGTTTGACAGGATGTTTAAGAATTAATCAACATATGTACATGTGTTATGGTGGAACATATAATGAGGGTGAGAAAATGTTGGGGAAATGATCAGTGAAGGCCACTTGCGTTGATAATTTTCCAACTTTTTTGAATGCCAAGTTATTTTTTCCACCATAATATACAAACAGATATTGATTATATGTATTCTACCAGGAAAACTGTGATGAAAGTTTTTGCTTGTCTGCCAAAGTGTCTATACGCCTGTAATGAACAAGGTGACCTGGATAATCTTATCATTAGGCTGTGCAAACCTTTTTCACGTGATGCCTATGTGTTAATTCCTCAACAAACTGCATTTTCTTTTGATAATTTCTGACCATGTGAACAGTTGTCTTATTTTGTCTGTTTAAAATGGATATATTTAAGAAGGATTTTTCTTTTTCAGTCACCATTTGGTTGACAAACAAACAAAACAGATTTCATGCTTTATACCAGATGTTTATTTCAATCAAAACCACTAATCTATCAACATTGCTACGGTAATCAGCACATGAAATCAAAATTTGACACATTGAAAAGATTTTTTTTTAAGTCACCTTCACAGTAAGTTTGAGGGAATCTTCAAAAACCTAAAAATGAAATGTGTGTATCCTCATCGACAAAGGAAATTAGTCCCATAGATCCCTTGTTTACATTAGTGGGGGAGGTTTTTGGAGGTGCATGGTCTGTGAGAAAAACAATACATGCAAGCACATGGTCTGGCTATCGTTATAGTACTGGACAGTGTAGATAACAGCACTTCCTACTACAACACCAGATTGTCTTGACACCTAGACAAAAACTTATGCTCTCAGGACACTAATCCAAATAGTGTTAACCCAGACATTTTACTTGGAAACACAAAAAGTCCCGAATATCCAGACTGGAAAAGCTCCCTAGTAAGGGAAGGTGTGAACGGAAGCTGTGATAGACATTTTTTGATAGCTTGATGGTTGTAGTGCTGTATGCTATATTTACTTGTTTTTTTGAAGTGCTATACCCTAAATGTGCTTTAAACCTTTAGTGCTAACTCTGGTGTACCAATTTTTGTGCAGCACTAAATGTAGAAATATATCTTTTCCTGAATATATTACTGATAGTTAAATGAAAGAGTTTTGGTGCTAATTTAACTCATTCACCCCTGAAGACACATTTGAACTTTTCCAATTCAAAGGTTGGAATAGTTCATTATGAAATTTCAGGGGTGAATGAGTTCGGATTACACTAAATAGATTGATGTAACCTTGTGCACTTCACTGTGTGTTTGTACATTGATTTAGTGAAGTTTGCTATCTAGCTTTAAGAGTGTGTGTTTTCTTTCACATGTTACTGTTGTTTTAATTTGACATTTCTTAAGTTTGTTTTGTAAGGTTGTACTGTGTGAAAAGTTGTAACCAGAAAAAAATATTTATACACTTTAAGAAATAGAAATCCATGAACCGATAATGCATGAAATAAACCATCTAGCTCCCCAGTTGGTGTGAGAAAGTGTCTTCACATTGTAACCTGCCTAGGACAACTTTGGGTGTGAGAAAACCTCTGAAACATTGCACTAGTCAAAATCACGCCTTAAGGATGCACTAGTCCTGCTCTAGTATTATGAGTTTGGTTTGGGATAATGAAAATGTACTTTATAATGCCATGTTATTACAAGTTTGGCAGGCTCCTGATATTTTATTGTAAAAGAATGAATACCCTGTCCCTTAAAGGAGGGCATTATGATATTCGTATACACAAGGGGTTGATACTACGTCTATTGTAGTGGTTTATAGTTTGTTATGACTGGTCCTTCTTTTTACAGCAATATAACATTTTATAACCAAATACTCCATAATCATTGGGTGAGGATTTCATTCATAGAGCACTATGAAAGAGTAAAACGCAAGATCATTGCGTTGCAACTTTAACTGTGACTTAATCTGGATTTTTCCAGTATTAACGAAAGTAAGGAGAAACTGAATGAAAGGCCATAGTGACTTATATTTTACATACACGGTACATTCCATGTCAATGAATTTACCTCCAGTAGTAAGACCTATGTCTCAGAGTGCTAGTCATGATGTTTATATTGTTGTCTGTAATGCTCCACAATTCATGATATTTGATATACATGTATACCTAAGACAATAGATCTCTGTCTGAACCAATCAGATCAAGGAACAGCAGAAACTTTAGGAATGCTTTTTCTCTCAATGGACTTAGGGTACATTGCAGAGTATTTTATATAGGTGTAACAAGATATTGTATTTTTTACCTATGTATGTGTGTGATGAAGTTTTAAGAATATATTCAGCCTTTTTATGTTTACTAACTATATGTAGTTTGTATATGAGGTTTTATGCTATAAAACTTTTACTGTTTTGCAGTTACTGTGTTTGATATATACAGAGGGATGAGATAAAATATAACATGCTCGTCTTTATTTTTATACAACTTATATTTCGTGTTGATTTTGATACTGGTATGGGACGTACCCTTGTATTGTTATCGTCTGCATGTTATGGTTATCAACATCATTGTCCTGTACACAGCTGTGTGAAGGCAGTGTACACCTGGTTAACAACATCATTGTCCTGTACACAGCTGTGTGAAGGCAGTGTACACTCCTTACTCTGTTATAGCATCTGACTCGCTCACTTAGATCTGTCTCGGATATAAATCAACCTTTCTTGGCTTATAGACTTCTCAACAAGTCTCCTAACGTTAAGCTGGCTCCTCGTTCACTAGGAATTGAACACGTGTCAATCTATGATGGACTCCACCATCATGAAGAGCGTCATATATTTCTTTTGATTTCCTTGATTAGGATGGTCCTATAGACTTAAATTAGTTGATAGAAAAAAATCCTTGACCAGGACAGTCCTAGAGTGTATGTTTGATTTCCTAGGATGATAAGGGCACCTTTGTTTGATCCATTAAGTTGATTTCCTAGGATGATAAGGGCAGTCCTTTGTTTTATCCATTAAGTTGATTTCTTTGATTAATGGATTTTTCGGGGACAGTCCTTTTTTTAGTATTGTGGCATTGAACGTCGGGCTATAATTCCGTCCAGGCCTGTCTCCTGTCTGAACCTTTTAAACATTACAGTCCTTGAATTAGGCCATGCTACTTTTATTTGTTTACATTTCTCAATTTATCTGTTTTCACAATATAAACATTTTATCAATATTTCCTGATTTTTATCATTTCAAAATGTATTTGTGATATATATACATGTATATATAAATAATGAAATAAACGAAATATGTATTCATGTTAATTTGTAAAATGAGACCATCACAATTTCAGATATCTAAAAAATATTATTAAATTCCTGAATTTAATATTAATATCTGTACGGACTGAATGAAACGAGGAACATGCAGCTTTTGTTACCATCTGCAAATTAAAATCCTTGTAAATAAGTATTTAGAAGAAAAATCTTGAAAATCAGAATTTCTTATTAACAGAAATTTTGTTAATTACAGCCCATATCCTTGTGATTGCTTGTTGATTTTTTTCCAAATAAAGAATTTTAATTATCATCATAGTTGTTTATTTCTAATTGTGCATATTGCGTTTCATTTTAATTTCAGACTTTATAGTATATACCAAAACGATGTTATTTATTTTCCAGTTGACAGTAACTCTCACAAGTGATGATAAGTTAATGTATAGCACTGTTACCTTGATCGTACGTCTCCACTGGTACCAGCAGCTGTTTAAATCTCTGGAAATGGGAAGTTTAACGACTGTTATCTCAACATTCACAGTAATTGATACAAAAAAAAGATGTATTTAATCACCTTTTAGAATCCTCTTATTCTCAATTTCGTTCTGATCTTGGAAATAATGATAACTGAAGAAATCGGAGGGGAAATATTGAAACACAAATAAGACTTGATGTTGAACATTGACTCAGTGTACTGGAATCCGACTGTCTGTCCTTAAATAAACTTGTCCAGACCTCCTTAAATGATTAGTCAATTTCAATAAAACTTTACGTACTTCATCAGACCGGGATGTTTAGCCCACCATCTATCCAAATGGTTACACTTTGAGATTGATGAAAAACAAGATGGCCACCAATGACAAACCTGAACTTTCAAAATTCAAGATGGACGCTTTGTAAGTATGTTTATATCGGATGACATAATAAACATAATCCGAGTCTACTTCCATAGAGCTATAGAAATCACTCACAAGAATTTTGGGTTGACTGGAGTTGATGGTGGTAACTGACTCCGACCCTGTAATGGAGTGCCGTTTACGTCTCTCGCTCAACCCCTTCCTCACCTGCAGATGTTTTAATAAAGTTTCAATTTTAATCCACTACCGTAGCAAGATATCAAAACAGCTCACCTGAAAACTTATTTAAAAGCTGTTGATTACTGTATATGTTTATCTAAAGAATACAAGAAATATATATATGATGCCCCATTGGCTTGATCACCAGGGGTGGTCAAGTCGTCGGGGGACACGAGTGTAATGAGCAAATTTATATGTTCATGTACATGGTAATGGGCTTGGGATTCCAAATGTTTCCATGTTATATTATCCAGGAAGTGATAAGTCCCCAAGGAAGAAGTCAGATCCTGGGGCCAATCCTAGTAGCAAGATTGCATTCTTTCTCTTCATACCTAGAAATTGTATACATGGCTATAGGATAGGATGGGGATTTCATCTGTTTCCATGTTGTAACCCAGCAAGTGTTAAGGTACCAGTATTATACATTCCACGTATGTGTGAGTATATACTTTAAAACTCTTTATAGGAATTGCTTCCCTTTGCCCGTAACCAAATCTTCTTAAACCATTAAAACCAAAGGAGACCGATATCTTATTAATTTCTAGCAGATTTTTATAGTAGTGTAAATACTGACAAACTTTCATTTAGTTTATTGCCCAAACTTATCCTTTGTCTTTCTATATTGTAAATACTGATAAAATTTATCAGAATCGAGTCATATTTCATCAAAATAATTTAGGAAATTGTTGACCAATCAAAGCACAGTATTCCAATTGATAGTTATGTGCAGAATTTTGCTCTACTTTTGGTACATCAAACTACTCAGTTTCAAAAAATATTTAATATAACAAATGATCAAACACTCCTAATGTAGAATTTTGCGGTAGTGTCCTAGTGTGGATCTGTGAGTGGTTCTATAGAGCTCCTTGATAATAAAACATAATCAAGGAATATAGGAATCTCAACACTACACAAGCGTTGTGGTGTTGAGATTCATTTATTCCTTGAATAAATGTTAAAAAAAAAGATTAATTTAAAATACAGATGTTAAATATTGTTCCTTTGAATATAACAATGACAGCCTATGAAACTAAATATATCTGATATCTAAGTCTCGTTATATTTTTGTAAATGAAGTACTTGAACAATTTGCGGAAGCCATACCAACCTCATCATTTCCGATTCCATGCAACAGGAATATCATTATCCCCTGTGAAAAGAAGACATTTATACAACACTGAAATGAAGCATAGTCAAATATACACTGGTATAATTTGTGGTACATATATGTATATCTAAACACTTTTGTTGTTGTATTTCTTTTACCTCAAAATAAAAATGTCCATATTTTAATGTCTTAATCTGGCTTACATTCCTAGACTGAATATACTGCAAGGTCTAGATCTCATGATGTAACATTTTTTTTTTTTTCTTTCAAAATGTTTTATTTCAATAACTTGCATATTTTTATATACATCTTATAACCAGCATACATTGTTTTACATATCACTACATCATTCTTCATCTTATAACAAGCATACATTGTTTTACATATCACTGCATCATTCTTCATCTTCATCTTATATAACCAGCATACATTGTTTTACATATCACTACATCATTCTTCATCCTATAACCAGCATACATTGTTTTACATATCAATACATCATTTTTCATCTTGTAATAAAGCATACATTGTTTTACATATCACTACATCATTTTTCATCTTATTACCTGCATACATTGTTCTATACATCATCCTACTTCATTCTTATTAGGTATACATTGTTTTATATATATTATATAAATTTTCATCAGATTAAAATAACAAAAACCAATTATCACACAGGCTCATTCATTCACTCATTATTTTCATTATCAGAGTAGGTAAATTTATAAAGACTCACAATTCTTTTTGTACTTATTCATTACAGTAGCAACATAATTGTATTTATATTAATTATAGCTATAGCTGTGATTTCAATGAATGAATTAAAGCAATGAATGTATAATTTTGTCTGTTTGCACTTATTATATTATCCGCTGTATTTTTCAATTGGTTTGTTATCCTATTAAATAATGATAGTGGAATTTGATCTTCATTTTCAAATTTCTGTAGATTTCTTGCCTTCCAAATTAGCCATTTAGACTGAAATATGATTAGATTACATAGTTTATTTATATTATCATTATATTCTGAGACACCAAAGATTCTTTCCTTTTCTGTTAACCTAATATGAACATTGCTTGTTGCTAGACTTTCATTTAGTAATTGTTCTATCCTGAACCAAATTGTTTCACTAAACCTGCACCCACTAAAGAGATGTTGTTGGGTTTCATGTACTTCTTTGCAGAAGTTGCATAGACCATTTGATTTCTGCATTTGTTTAAGTTTATATTCAGTGGTTAAAATTCTGTGTAGGCTTCTCCACTGAAAATCCTTGATTTTCCTGTCAATGATAGTGTTATTTATAGAGAGCCAGATGGCATTCCAGTCCAATGCAAAAAGATCATTCCATTTCTGAAGGGATTTTATCTCTTTACTATTTTGATACAATATATATTTAATTATTTTGTTAAAACACTTGTTCATGGCTAAAATGCTGTTTTTATAAGTGAAAACTAAGTCATCTGAAATTTTAAAGGCACTAATATTGTTTTCATTATTATTTTGTAGTATGTTTTTCCACCCTGACGGAAGGGCCCCTCTGATTTTTGAGAATTCCGATATCCAGTTATTTTTACTTTTTAACTTTTCCAGTAATTGTTCTGATGAAATAAAGTTATTTTGTACAACATTCCAGATATGTTTTATCTTTGTTATTCCACTCCTTGCCCAATTTTTGAAAAAAAGTGGATTATTTTTAAATAATACATTATGATTCCCAAATAGGTTTTGGTTAAGGACATCTTCTGCACTGCTTACAGGTACTTTTTTTTGCAGTTTTTGCCAATGCCAAATTCCCTCCCGATAAATTGCCGGAATTTTTTTCAACTCCAAATTATGAGTGTTGCTGCATCTACATAAGAAATAATCTGTATTGTAAGCTCTGTCATAGCTTTGCAGAAAGTGTTTACCTAGTATGTTCCACGTCTGTATTTCACTATGAATTACTCTATATATTAGTTTGATTCTATTCATTGTAACAATTATCTCTATATCAGTCATATTTAACCCTCCCTGCCCCTTTTCTAAATACACAGTTTCTTTTGCCACCTTATTTATTTTACTACCCCAAAGAAATTTATATATTAATTTGTTTATTTTTTGTAAATATTCTTCAGGTATGGTGTTTTGTGCTAATTCATAAGTTAACTGAGAGCATAGAAGGGATTTGATTATTAGAGTTTTCCCTTCTAATGACAAATTTCTCACTTTCCATGTATTGATTCTGTTTTCAATTTTTTTAATTTTACTCTCCCATAGCCTTGTTTTATCTATACTATAACCATGAAATATTCCTAATACCTTGATATTGTCTCTGACCAATGACCCATGATGTAAAATTTAGCCTGGGGCCCACACCAAGGATATCAAGCACATCATCTTCTTAAAACAATTAAAAAACGTTAATTGATAATTGATCGTTTGCTAAATACATTTGTCCATTGTTAGTTAAAATAATATAGGTCGATTGATTTGATGGTTGAACTTAATCCACCAAACCAATCTATCTGATGATGCACAGTTTAAATACATCAATACTACAACTACTATCCATGACGGGTTTCATACAAATACCAAGTCCAGAACTGATTGCTGAATGTGATTATGAACCAAAAGTATGAGGAGGGAAAATCTGCCTCAAATTTTGTATTAACAGCTACGGGTGATATATGATAGAGATTTATACACCTACCTGCATGGCGTTCCCGATGATAAACAGGTAATGGAATACGTGGTGCAGTGGGACGAGGATGCTGAGGACCCAGGTTACCCCGAGGAGGGGGAGCAGGGTCACCATGGCTCTCACACTGGCCCTGTAAAAACCTCATACTGAAAATCACTTTCATTTTGAGATATATTTTCTCATCACAATTATTTTAACATGTTTTCAATTCAATTTAACAAATTTCTTTTCATACCATAATCTCCATGATGAGCACCCGGGGGGGG